AGGGGAGCGGCTTCCCCAATAATGGCACCGGCGGCTTTGCTCGCAAACTCTTTAAAGCGAGGGTCACTTATCGCTTTCTTCGCTGTTGGGACTTTCATGCATCCCTTGCAGCTGACAGATGCAGATGCAGCTGACTAAGGAAGACTCAAATTGAGTAGAATCGAAGTATGCAGTGTGATAAGGTTACCGATGCTTACAAGGCAAGGATACTAACTTAGATTCGCCTTCTGAGATGAGACGCATATGTTAAGAATCAGCTTTAAACTCTGGTTCCAAATATGTTCTTCCTAGCTGCTTAGCGTTATCTGGAGCGAGTTATGGGCTTGGCGTTGTAAGTAATTAAAAAACTTCTGAATGTCGTAAAACGGCGTATCGGTAAGAATCTGCTCGAAAAAAGTGCTAGGATGTTGAACTAGCATCAGATTAATTTTTTCGATCTTGAAAGGGCGCATTATACAACTGCAAAACCATCTAGACGTGGACACCGTAACATCCGTAGCTTGAGGAGCACGCAAGCTTTGTCTAGAAGAGAGACCACTACTCGCTTTAGAATAATGCTAAGCAGCTAGGAACAGCATATTTGAAATCAGCCAAGCTGAGTCCAAATATATGTGTCTCATCTCAGTAGGCGAATCTAAGTTAGTATCCTTCCCTTGTTAGCTCATATGTAACGGTCTCTGCTACGGACCTTTGCTGAAAGAGCTATACAGAATTTTTCAGCGAAGGTTGCGATGCGCGCCTTGGGCAGGCATGGCGTCAGGCATTGCGGCGACAGCAGAGTGGAGTAGCTCTAACTACGAAGCGGTCAATGGGTTCGAGACCTGGCACATAAAGCGTCTTTGCAACATCGTCCGATACTCGTGGGCCATCTGCAAAACATTCACACACATCAAAGCACTTTGTAGTCATGCGATTTTGTTAGAGCGTTCTTTGCACTTCCAGCCAAAATCGAAATAAGGCGCTGATCAAACTAAAATGTTTCTAGACGGCGTGATTGCAATGTACCCGATGGTGGCGAGCCTCTTGAAAGAAGAGAAGTGGGCATTTATGGCGCAAACGTGTTAATTCTGTGTTGACGTGCACATATCCGAAAATCATCTATTGATGCGTATGTAAAGCGACAATCTATCCATTGCTGATATTTTTATTCATTTATCCGGTAGTACGCACAAGGCGTGCTAATCTAAAATGTCAGAAAAGCACCAAGTACATAAACAGCAACAGAAAACAAACATCCACTGAGTCAGCTCATGTCCAGCTCATGGGTTATGAATAGGGATTGAACTTGTTTGAACCATATATGAAATCATACAGGGTGTCCCAAAAATGTGCCTACTGTTTGATTGTCAGTAACTTTCTTGTCATAGACTTTCAAGGAAATGTTGGTACCATTTTCTAAAGTGGGATTCAACTCAGATTTACAGTAGGGAGCGAATTACCATTGTCTCTTTACGCTGTGGGATTACGGTAGCAACTTTGAGGAGGGTTCTGCGTCATTTTGGGTTATACTTTACCAGTGCGTCACCTCTGCTTCGCAGAGGCTCGCACTGGCTCTACTATCTAGGCCCTACTCATTCTCACATAATGATGGCATTGGAACTCACCGAGCAATGCCGACTATCACGAACCAAGTGTAAACAACTACTCATTCCGAAAGTTTTATATGTGAAATCGGTGATTTCGCATGAATGAGACTTTTTGCATGAGAACAAATGCAAATTTCTATAGGTTTTTGATTTTCCTATGGTCTTGACAGTTGCAATAAGAACAGCAGTCACCGTGAGCTACATCTTTGTGCAAAAATTTCGTCAGATGCTCTGGTAGAACCTTGGCAAATTGACCAATTGCGCAAGCAATACTTTTTGGCGCTGTTTTTGTAAAGTACTGGACAATTTATCACTTTTTTGGGCCTAAGCTCGTGGCTTGCACATTTACTCAACATAAATATCCACAACCCTACAAAAAGTGGAATTACGGACCCAACTTTGCTCGTCAAATGCAAAGTGGAACCGTTTGACGCGCAGTTTCTGAGGGATCCACTCAACGAATTGGCTCGTGCTTTTGCATGTTGGACTTATATGCAGGTAGCATGCACTGTGCAAAATTTGAGCCCAGGGGGTTGGCTGGAACACGCTCTACGAATTTCGTAACAGACACACTCACAGACACACACACACACACACACACACACACACACACACACACACACACACACACACACACACACACACACACACACACACACACACACACACACACACACACACACACACACACACACACACACACACACACACACACACACACACACACACACACACACACACACACACACACACACACACACACACACACACAAAGTCACGTAAACATCCTTAGCCCGTTATTATAAGTAATGATTTTTGAAAAAAAAGACTAAAAAAGCTGAAAACTCTTACACGAGATTAGTCGCTGATTCCAAACATGAAATTTACACTTCACCGTAACGCATTTCTCTAAGTTATGGCAGATATAGTGTTAACCGATTTCTGAGATTTGTCAAAAATCTGATTAAGTCATTCAAAATGCCCTGCGAACGCGCTAAAAGTCATGTAGTGAAAACAGCATGCATGAAAACCCTTTTTATTGAAATTTCCAGATTTTTTCGAAAACTTTTCTCGAACGGCCTATCTCGGTGGTACCATATGCTATGTGTTCCTACCGTAACCCTACAGTAACGAAGAAAGATCGGCAATTTGCTCCATGTCATAAATTTAACAAGGGAAGGACCCTCGGTCGGAGTGGGGTTCCCACGCGTGATGCGTATCATTGTACTGGTCTTGGGGCACTAATACTAAATCCGTGTTCCTTAGCGCCTTAGGGCCCTCTAAGGATACATATCAAACAATACAATCTACAGAATGGAAGAATGTTTGGGACATAAATATTTCGAACTTTTTACCACTTCCTCCATAGTCTCCACAGTTATCCACTCGGCCATCCCACCACAACTGACATTTCTCGGCGTCGCTAACTTGAGCGATCCGTGGTCATCCTGGGGGAACCATCGCTCGTAACTTTTCCCAGAAGATCACTGAGCAGCTAAGGAACTCGGATTTATTATAAGTGCCCCAAGAGAAGCACAATGATATGCATCACGTATGAGAACCCCACTTTGACCGAGCGTCCTTCCCTTGTAAGTTGAAGCCTCTTCAAAATAATACCTAAATCTTCTTGGAACATCTCATGACAAGAGAGTTATTGATAATTTAAAAAGTAGCACATTTTTGGGACACCCTGCATATTAGCTAGAGGCTCGATGGAGTCTGCCCCATGCCTCCTGCTCGCAGCAAAGTCTTGATTAATCAACTTAAGCAACGTATATGAAAGAAGCGACTATACTGACAAAACTCGGCCAATCAACCAATTTCTTTGGAAGGATCAGACTCCGAGAGAGGTGCTCTTGCAAAAAACTGATCAAGCCTAACAAGTTATGCCCAAATAACAGCGGAATGGGTGAAGCACTAAAAGTGAGTGAGCTGAGCGCTAAGGTGATGCCTTTTTGTGTGAGCCTTTTATGCTTTTTTGAGCGTAAAGACCGCGGTCAAGTCCGTCGTCACGATTTCATAAATGAACCTTGCTTAGGAGGGCTATAATTCGACAAAGGCTTTCTGCGCAATAAATAGGAGATTGATAGTTAGTCGTGTGCATAGCACTGGAGCAGGTCCAAGCAACATGCGAATCAGGGCAGCGAGCGTAGTAAGTTCAGCATACAAACAGCCAGCACTATGCGAGCGATAACGATGAGTAATTAGGAAAAAAATCAGTCAAATTTTTCTTGAGTCTACGTTTAAAAATAAGGCTATCTGGAAACGACAGGATTTCTTCAAGTAAATACTGAAAATTTTTGAAGTGCATGAAAAGATTGGGTATCTGACAAGTAGTTCAATTGCTTGCGCTCAACATTTGAATGTAAATAGACAGAAAAACCAGTATCCCCTCCATAACTGGGCTTGCATACGTAGTAATTAGGAGGTCTTAGCTAATTTCGACTTCAGGAATCCTGGAAGCAAATACCATATCACGCACAATCCGGCGATGTACAGGCTTTTGAGGCCAAGGACTTTTAATCGCTTACCACATATCATGATTATCTTCTCCGGAGGTCGTAGTTGCACATCAGAAAGTGGCGTCGACGATCTTATTCGATCTCCCACTAGGAAGTAAAGGCGTATCATAGATGGTTTATAGAGTATAAATATTGCTTTGAGCATTTTGTACAACGATGTAGTGTAAGCTTTTTATGTTGATTTGTCTGCTATCTATAGATTTTCTAATTAGAAAAGAGTAGCAAATTTTACGGAAGTAGTTGCGAAACTTGCTAAAAAATGACTGTTTTGAGGTGTGCGATGTCCCAAAAAAGTGGCACATGTAAGGACTCGAATCCATTGCCTATCGTTGGCTACTAATACCGTTGGAAACTTGCAGCCTTACCTCTATGCCAGGGCGCGCTTCGCAACTCGCAGATAGAAAATCTTGTAAAACTCTTCTAGCAAAGGTTCGCAGTAGATACCTGGTCAAATACGTGTAAGCATCCGAAAACCTACCTCTCTCATAATCTGATTTTCCTGACGCCACTGCTATATGGGAACGTTCCCTAGTCAGCTGCTCTGCAAATTTGAGAGCGAAATACTGCGAAGTTTTCAAATATTTCCCTTTATTTGAGGGTTGGAATTTGCACTTGTCATCAAAGTCATCTTCGTTCTATGGTGTAGACATAGGTGAATGTAACACTCTAGCCCCCTTGTATTCCTTGATTGCATTGCGGGCAGATACCTACGATCTGGTTTTTTTGCATTGCTTACACTGTTCATACGTAATACGCATTTGTTGCATCGAGGTTAGAGCAATCGAATCGAACTTTGAATGTTTGCAGTGTGATTGCAATGCTATTATCGGTATCACACATACAACTTGAAAACACTATCATCCCAGCACACAGGGCTAGTTTCATTTCAAATATGCCGTCGACTATGGAAACTCAGGTGCGGTCATGCTTCCACTACTAGCAACCGCCTAACTCTATCTATCCTATATTTCATCTCTGAACTGCAAGCTTGGAAATTCTCTTTACTGCATAACACCCACCTTGTTTCGAGCAGGAGTGCTGCGTAAGCTCCTTTTACAAGGCGGCTCCATCGCAAAAACGAACTTCTCATCTAGATATGTTATGTAGTTTCAGGTCAGTAATAATAGCCGATCAAGAGTGAGCAAGGCAGGATTGCCGATGCTTGTCGCTGTCGAACATTGATTTGTCATCGTTGAACAATGAGCTTCAGCGTCTTAAAAGCGTTTTCGACCGATGCTAGATAGAATAGCTTGCATAAACGCTGCAATGCGCTGATAACCATTAACCATAATCATTGCATCATTTCAGCCTTCATTCCGCTATAAGTGGTCGCAGTGAATTAGGCGACCAACAATAGGTAAAATTTATGTTCTTTCATACTTACTGCTCTACCCCATGATCCTTTGAGTGCTGTCTATCATCGATTTGCATGGCGATGTGACCGCAATAGATGATTTCACCATTTTGATTTTTGGGCATCTTGCTGACGACTCAGAGCTGCATGCATTAACATTCTAGCCAGGGAGGGGATTGCAGCTCAGAAGAAAGCTTAATATCCTGAAGCTGCAAAGATTTGAATTGCACGCTTTATCCAAAAAGTACTCCTACTATCCTTTACTACGGACATATCGAACAGAAGCGAGAAGCTGCACCAGCCGCATCTTCCAGCTTTTTGCATGATCCCCTCATGATCAGCGGCGCCCGGCCGTCTTTCCTTCAAAGTTATCTTTCTCAAAGTCAACGAAAATGTGCCAAAGTTTCATTGCTTGTCTAATCAAACAAGCATGTTTTCAATTAGAGCAAATTATATATCGAAGTCATGAATTCGCGATGATCCACAATTTGAAAGTTGGGGTTTATCGAAAGTCTTGATATTTTAATAACTCATTTGTTCTCATCAGGAACACACACTGTTGGGTTAGAAAACCAGTACAACTTTGGAATGTTTTCGTTGATTTAAAAGGAGAAAAAAAGGACACTGAAGGAAAGACGGTGGGGCGCTGGTCATCAGGAGATCATACGAAAAGTTGGAAAATGCGGCTTGTGAGCTTCTCGCTTGTCCAACATGTTCATAGTGAAGAGTAGTTGGAATACCTACTGATGGATGGACAAGGTGAGATCCAGATGTCTAGAGCTTCAGGTTTAAGTTTTCTTCGCTGCGATTCCATCCTCAGCGGAGGTGTCGATTTGCGTTATGATTCGCTTGCTTGAACTCCCAATCACCTTTCAATTAATAATATCTCAATCGCTTAATTAAATCTGGCAGCAAATATCTGAAACGCTTTATCTAATGATGCGGGAGGAAGGTGTACGAGGGAGTAGCATGATTAAGATTTATTAGGTGCACGAACAGTGTAGGTGATGGAGAGAATAACTCAGTGAGCGTTGGCCAAGGTAGTTTTTGTAGGCAGTCAGGAGGGCACGAATTAGGGTAGAGATCGAGAGTGGCCGCAAAGAGAAAGAAGATCATTCAAAGATGCAAAACTCTGGCCCCGGTAAGAGTCATCCGTATTCGTGGTTTCAATGGTTATACCACGTCCACGGCTTGATTGCTGGTCGTCAATTTGGAAGTTGTCTGAATTGTAGTAATTAATGTTCATGTTGTTAGCGCGTCATGCTGTCACAGCTCATACCCGCACTTTCCTATGCATGCACACTTGCAGGAGGCTTCTTTGCATCCGTTGCCAGTCACATCTGCATATGCAAGTAGAGTTGGCTAGGCAATTGCAATATTTCTAACTTTTATGAAACTATTAGGTTGTCCCATAATTTTTTACTGTTTTTACCACAGCCGTCGTCTCCTTATATTTTTCTTTCGAATGATGTGGCTCGAGTAACTATCCGACAGGGCAAAGCAAGCTCTACAAGATGGCTATGAAGAATTCGCTTAAATCGTGTTTCACCGGAAGTTTTGAGCTAAAATCTGATAGCAGTCAAAAACGAAATTTTCCTCCAAAAATCGTATCTCCGCCCCAAAACGTCTCAAAAATTCCCCATATCCTAGCGTATGCTCGGCATATCGCACATTCAACTGTCTATTCCCGTATTTTTTTCATGGCTAGAAATAAAGAAAAAAATGAGTGGGATAAAATGGCAAACTCCGCCCCTGGACATCCTAAGCTCCTCCCACGCACATGATCATATAGCTTTTACATACAGAAGTACGACCATGTATTTGTAAACTTTGAAGGTGCCCCCAGTTCTCGAGAAATGCTGATGTTTAGGATGTTACGAGTTCATTGCATGCCGATCTTCTTGTATTAGGTTGTTCGGAAATTAAAGCAGGTTTTGAATTTCAACCGCAATAAGTCATACACTTTTCATTTCTAAGTAGGTTGCAAAACACCATTCGATAGAACAAAACAAGCTCTACAAGATGGCTATCTTGCTTTAGCAACAGCCCTGATTTATCACGAGTTTCGAGCCAAAAACTAAAAAGATTTAACTGCCCGAAAAATTGAGAATAATCGTAACTCGTTCATAAAAATCCTACAAAAATATTAACTTGCTCACGTAAACACAATTCACATAAGGCATTTATATACGCCACTGCCGTATTTTTTCTCTGTTGAAAATCAAGAGAAAGGAAATTTTCGTGCATTTGCCACAATGATGCTGTGCCGTTCCCACATAAGTAGTTTGTACACTACAAACCTGTAGAAGTGCAAACGTGAATTTCCAGCTCTCTACAAGCTTTACTTCTCGAAAAATATCGAAAACAGTTTTCGCTAGTCATGTGGTCCAAGCTAAAATTCAAATTTCTCGAGAACTAAAGCTTGTAGAGAGCTAGAAATTCACGTTTGTATTTCTATAGGTTTGTAGTGTACAACTACTTATGTAGGGACGGCGCAGCATCACCGTGGCAAATGCACGAAAATTTCCGTTTTCTTGATTTCTAACAAAGAAAAAAATACGGCAACGGCGTATATAGATGTCTTATGTGGATAGTGTTTACGTGGGCAAGTTGGATTTTTTGTAGGATTTTTATGAACTGAGTTACGATTATTCTCAATTTTTCGGGCAGTTGAATCTTTTTAGTTTTTGGCTCGAAACTCGTGGTAAATCAAGGCTGTTGCTAAAGCAAGATAGCCATCTTGTAGAGCTTGTTTTGTTCTATCGAATAATGTTTTGCAATCTACTTGGAAATGAAAAGTGTATGACTTATTGCGGTTGGAATTCAAAACCTGCATTAATTTCGGGACAACCTAATATTTCGGTTGTGATAGTTAGTCACGATTAGTCGTGTTGGAAAACTATTACAACCGAAATCAAGAAGATCGGCATGCAACGATATTGTTACATTTGCCTTGTCGCAATGAATCGCGACGATGTAATCGCGTAAGCTCTGAGGCCTAAGGGGTAACACTCCCAAGAGCATATGGCCAGAGGCTTCAAATACGTCGTGTGCTTTCTTCCTCAATACGGTTTTGTACTAATGCCTTATTTCTTCCATAATGGTTACTGATTTCAGCGCTCTCATTCCTCAGAAAACCTCTTTGATAACACCACGCCGTTTTACCAACATAACCGAGATGGGAGATTGATAAAGACTGGCAATGGTGCTTGCTCACAGTGTCCAATCTACATCGTGTGCTTTGGCAAAGTTCAGGCGTTTTTATCGCTACGCAGTCTGGAAATGTTCTAAATGTCTTCTAATGTACTATGCGCGGTAAACACATGCAACACGAAGGAATACAAAGAATTATTGACGCATAGGAAAAAGTATCCTCAAAAAATTACCTGCTGCAAAACTTCTGATTGGCGACTATCAAAGCTTTTTAAGTGGCGCATTTCTTATCTCCGCTGGTTGTAGATTTCTCAGAGTGAACTTATTGTCTTCTCAGGCTTTGTTGGGTGGGAACTAGGAATCCGAAACTGATTAGCGCGAATTGGACAGTGCCTGCAAAATACAATCACACTTGCTATCTAAAGAGCTTCCCAGTTCAAAGGGACAATCCCAGCCGTGAATGTGCTGCGCATTCTAAACAGAAATTTTCTTTAGTAACTTCCGTTGAGACAGCAAATTATTTTTTTTACAGCCTATAGACCAGAGTAAGTCTTTTAAATTGCTCCGTAAGTGAGGTGACATCTCGCATGCATGACTGAAATAAATAACTTCTATCTTCATCAAGAATTCCTTAGCTTATTCCTAACGGTAGTGCTCCCCGCTGTTATGAACCTAGCTTCGATACGAACATCATGTCGATGTCATTACGCAGTCAGGAAGAAACCCCATCACTTTTCAACGTATCTAGATACGACCAATTATTTGATGCTCTGAAGAGAAGTCTTGTCATTTTCAGTCGTAAATCGTTCCAATTATTCCAGATTATAATCTCAAGCTAATCCTTGATAGCGCTAGTTTAATAAGAATGCAAAGAGAATTCTTGTGTTACGTGCATTCTAAATGCCGTACAGCGTAACACGTATTCATACAAACAAAATCAATCCCTCTTTTGCTTTTTTGAAAGATTTTTATAGGTAACGTTTTACACATCTTATATGTATAAATAAGCTCGCATCATCTTTGTAAAAAGCGAAACGCAGAACTTTAGCATACAGCTAGCTTTACCTTCTGATATGAATTTTTTAGCCTGATACAAAAAAGGTTAAGCATCGGGTACGAGAATCTGAAGACAAATCGGAACTAAGAGAAGAACAGACAGACAGAAGGCCGGAAAAGGGAGAGGAGCATTTTGACAAAGAAGAGGAAAAAGTATATTATTATCATCCATCCTCCATTATGGAAAAATTCTTCGGAATCTTCACAGATACTGAAAGAATTCGACTTTTACCATGGTTTTCTTCCACGCGAGGACTTATTCTTATTGGTTAGACATGTGGGCGACTATTTGTTGCGTGTGAGTGAGGTAAGGGCAATTTTCTTATCGTTCGTCTGCCCGCTGCTGAGCAGAAGCGGACTCTCAACTTTCTTAAGCTGGGGGAATAGTATGTAGATGCTGCTGTTAAATCTTTCGCTCTAAGTACCTTAATCCATCCAGCAATATGCTTGCATTGACCTTACATTTGTTTTGAAAACTATTTCACAATCTTTTATGCCCATAGCAGTGAACGCGTTGTTCGTATGAAAAAAAAAACGCCGTAAAGCTTTTTTTGTAAGCGTCTAACTATGGCCAATCCTGCGCTTTCATCTATGAGCTCCTTGTTCATATGATGGCCATTGAAAATGCCGAGTTTGTTGAGAACGTAATTTCAGCATGCTCAATCTGCGCTTAGCTTTACGGAGAGTTTAAGATGGCAGCCGCATTTAACTGAAATATTAGGTTGTCCCGAAAGTTCGTTCGCACCATTTTCAAAAAATCATAACTTCTTTGCATCATAACCGTTTTGCACAATTTGAATTTTATTAGAAATCGCAACGCATGTAACTTCCAATAGTCCCTTGATGAATTTCCAGCATGTTCAGATTGCAGAGATAAAATTGAAAGAACGAGAACACCCGAAATTCGCAATTTTTGAGCAAAAATTCTAAAAGTTTAGAAACTGCGCGATAAAATCTAAAAAAGCCATTATCCTAATTTTTCTTATATTTGATTACTAACTGGGTTAAGTTTGTGCTGATCGAGCTCTTCTTTCAAAAGTTATGATTTTTTGAAAAAAATGCCGAAAAATCAATTTCTTAAAAATTCTTAGGAAAGTGATTTTTCGGAATTTTTTTTTAAATCATAACTTTTGAAAGAAGAGCTCGATCAGCACAAACTTAACTCAGTTAGTAATCAAATAAAAGAAAAATTAGGATAATGGCTTTTCTGAATTTTATCGCGCAGTTTCTAGATTTTTAAAATTTTTGCTCAAAAATTCCGAATTTCGGATGTATTCGTTCTTTCATTTTTATCTCTGCAATCTGAACATGCTGGAAATTCATCAAGGGACTATTGGAAGTTACATGCTTTACGATTTCTAATAAAATTTAAATTGTGCAAAACGGTTATGATGCAAAGAAGTTATGATTTTTTGAAAATGCTGCGAACGAACTTTCGGGACAACCTAATATATAATCGCGAAATTTTTGAAACTTACCTATATGGATTATAAAAATGTGCAAACGACTTGTTTTTTGTAAACAATTAAAATAATTTTTAAAATTTTTTAAAAATTCAAATTAGCCTTATAAAAAATTTTTTTTCGGGAACGTGGCTGACGCCACGCCCCCTTTTTCCAGTTTTTAGGGGTTGGGGACCCGCAAAAATTTTGAGAAATACTCCTAAAATTTTTTCGGAATGCGTGGCTAACGCCACGCACCTTCATTTGAAAAAATTTTTTTCCGCGCCCCCCCCCCCCGGTCCGAAATCCTGGGACCGCCACTGATAAAAAGGCTTGAGGCACATCGAAAATCAATTACAATTCCAGGTCGACAACGATCCTACCAAAATACGGAGGGAAATCATATTGTCTGTGTCTATAGATTGCCCAAAGCAAAGCAAATCTGCCGCTAGTGAACGTCAAGAGCGTTCGCATTCTCGTACAACACCGACAAAAAACGGAAACAAGAGAGGAAAGGTTTGTACGACTGGCTATTCCACTACAAGTTTTGAAAAGCTTCTTTGCAGCTAAAAAACGTAATCGTACGAAGAAGAAAAAGCAAATATCTTGTTGAAACAGATCACCTCTTTGATACTCTCCATGAACTCTTAGAACACTACAAGCACAATACAGGAAAACTAAATAAGGTTTCGATACGCAGTTTCTAAATATTTCGAATAAGTCGAAAGCTCACTGCTCTCTGTAAACGCTTGGAGGGAGCTAGTTTGATTATACCTCTAAATTTCAAGGCAAAAAATTTGCAAAGTAAAATACGACCAATCGGCTGAGGAACATCCGTTGCATTGAATAGTTCAGCATATTTTATGGAGCTGTTTGGCAAGGGAAGCAGTTTTAGTCAAGGTGGTCGTTCAAAATGAATTGGTTGTTGAAGCCCGGGCTCCCTGCAATACCTATATCATCTGCGAAACAGCTCCACAAGGCTGAGCAAAGGCTGGAAAGCAATGCACACCGTAGACATTGAAATATGAATATCTTACTGTTTTGCGCTTCTGAACAAGACGATTATTAGGATGTTAGACCGCCACTTACCCAATAAATTTACTAAGCTTGACTGGCTTATTTATCTTTGACGACGTATCTGACAAGGAAATGATACTTGGTGTCCGTGGCCTTTTGAGATGAGATGTATACCATTACACTCATCTTGGAGCGCTGATTTCTAATCTGACTTCCGTTTCTGCTAATCGTCTCTCTAGAAGAAGTTATGAATGATTTTTGCGTCAAAGGGGACGTGTTTGGAATGCAAAAACCGCCGCTAAGATGTGGTGTAGTGGCTAGTGCTATAGCCGTGCAAGTTGATGTAGGTTTTTAGGTTCGAGTCTTTTTGTATTTTTCAGTTTTGCATTGCCTCAATCAAGCTTCTTTTTGAAAGTTAGGCATCCTCGGCCGCATTTCCCTTAGGCAACCATTGACGCGAAAATCTTTCATAACTTCTTTCAAAGAAATGATTAGCAGAAAAGGAAATCAGATTTGGAATCAGCGTTCCAAAACGAGTGTGATGGTATACGTTTTATCTCAAAAGGCCACGGACACCAAGTATCGTTCCCTTGTAAGATTTAGTCAAAAATGAGTAGATCACGACTACTTACGCTCTTACCTGGCCAGTAGTGCATAGAGAAAATGAATGGTGGCTCCATACGAGAAAAAATTAGCACAAGTTCATTGTCATGAAAAGGTGCTACGATAGCCGTGTGTAGAACTAGAAAAAAAAAACCATTTCTGTAATGGCATGATACAAGCGTGGACGAAAGTGCTCCATTTGTTTGAAAAAAGACTGCAAATTGGGGCGTACATATAATATTTGGATAAGCACTTTTTTTTATGACCGGCCTAAAGAGTTAGAAAACTTCAGTGAATTTAAACAAAACTTTGCACACATGAAGTTCGGGGTAAGGCGGGTGTCACTAAGCTTTTTCACAGAAAATCACCGACTGGCGTTATCGATTTATCGATTTTTTGCGTTTTTCGCTTAGCATGTTCGTTATGACCGGCCTAAAAAGTTAGAAAACTTCATTGGATTCAAACAAAACTTGGCACACATGAACTTCGGGGTGGGGCGGGTGTCACTAAGCTTTTTCGCGGAAAATCACCGAGTGGCGCTATCGATTTATCGATTTTTTGCGTTTTTCGCTTAGCATGTTCGTTATGACCGGCCTAAAAAGTTAGAAAACTTCATTGGATTCAAACAAAACTTGGCACACATGAACTTCGGGGTGGGGCGGGTGTCACTAAGCTTTTTCGCGGAAAATCACCGAGTGGCGCTATCGATTTATCGATTTTTTGCGTTTTTCGCTTAGCAAGTTCGTTATAACCGGCCTAAAATGTTAGAAAACTTCACTGAATTCAAACGAAACTTTGCACACATGAGGATCGGGGTGGGGCGGGTGTCGCTAAGCTTTTTCACAAAAAATCACTCAGCGGCGCTATCGATTTATCGATTTTTTCATGTTCTAATCTCTGTTGAGCTGAAAACTGGCAGGAAGGGATAACTGAGCATAATTAAATCGAACAAAATATCTACAACTTTGACCACTAAACCTTTTTACCTTTTTTGATTCTTTGTATGCAACATTCTGGAGGCTAGCTGATATCCAACTTTGCGTTGACCTTTCGCAACGGATTTCGTCGACTGATTAGCTCATCAACAAAATCAAAATGGTTCATCCACGAGATAATATGACCAACAAATCAAAATACCCTATCTCGGCCTTACGGTTCATTCATACCATGCCTTCATCGGTCGTACCTCCTTCGACTACTGTTACTCCCGAGACCATGGCGCCGACATTGACCCCCTCTAGCAATGGACCCCTCCACACCTCAGTCGCAGATGCATATCGCCCAGAGAACCCGAGCCCGTACCGCAGCAAGGCGCACTTCTGAAGCCATGCGTAGCCGCCTTCGTCGTAGCCGAGAAACACCAGAAAAACGAGAACGGCGTCTTGCCTTAATGCGTGAACGTCATCTTCGTAGACGGCAACAGGAACCACAGCTCAACGGACACCTTCAGGAGACACTGGATCCAAAGGCATGGTGCGAGCCCAGAACGGATTGACCAACGAGGATACGAGCCAATCGACGAGAACACAGCACAAACGATCTCTACGCTTGACTCGCGGCAACAAGTAATGTTTGAACCGGCACCTACCTCCACTCCCAGTTCGCAGATGCACATTGCGCAAAGAACTCGAGCACGTGGCGCAAAGCGGAGATCTTGAGGAGCGACTTATCAAGAGCAATATCAGGATTGCTTCATTCGACATTCCCACACCGTCGTTAGGCCGTCGTCCCACGACTCACGCGTACGATATACGATGCATTTTGCTCAGCCGAAGGTAATCGCTTATATGGGACTTCAAATTCACAGCAAAAGGCAGCGGTTGACATCATTTCTTGGTGCGCTTGATGTCCCAGACGCTCCAAAGCTTTTCTTCATTGATGGTCCCGGGGGTTCAGGTAAAACGTGGACGTATACATGCCTTTTTGATATCCTCATCGGTCAAGGGCGCAAAGTCGCGTGCACAGCGTGGACAGGTTTCGCGGCCAACCTGCTCCCATCGGGTCGCACAACGGTGTCGTTGTTCAAGCTAAATATCTTGAACAACTGCGAGACATCATCCCACAGAAGGCAGATGAAGGACGAGAGACTGCTCGCCGAAAACGACGTGTTCATTTGGGACGAAGCCTCTATGATCCCAAAAACTGCTTTTGAGACGGTGGATTCAGAACTACGTGATATCATGCAAGTGGACAAGCCCTTTTGCGGAAAAATGGTCGTTCTCGGAGGCGACTTCAGGCAGATCTTACCGGTTGTTCGCAGCGGATCGCGAGCAGACCAACTAAGCATGTGCATTAAGGAGTCTTCCCTTTGGCCGCATTTCATAGTACTCCGCCTTTCCGAAAATATGCGAGTGACGAGCCGCGATGCGGATTGGAGGGACTTTCTATTGCGTGTGGGCAACGGCACCGTCAATGACAGCCAAGGACGAGTGAAACTGCCAACGGAAATCGTGGGTCGAGAAGGTATAGTCCAGGAGCTATACGGCGACTGCATCGAACCATTGGTTGATTTGTTTGATCAGGCTATCCTTGCCCCCAAGAACGCCGATGTGAATTCCACAAACGAACAAGTTCTAAGCTGCATACAAGGTGAAAAAAGATTTACTATTTGCACGATGAAAGTGTTACCGACGACGCTGACGACCAGAATCAATTTAATACTACTGAGTTTCATAACACAATCTCTAGCTCCTCCTTGCCGCCGCACTGTCTCAAGTTGAAAAAGGGCGCCATCGTCATGCTGCTTAGGATCTTGGACGTTTCATCCGGGCTATGCAATGGAACACGACTACAAGTCCGCGATATGGGCCGTCGTCTCATACAATGCAAATTCATAATAGGTAATGGGCATAAGCAGTCTGTCGTGATTCCGAGGATCCACAACTACAACGACAAGAATCTACCCTTCAGACTCCGGCGCTCCCAATTCCCCGTCAGATTGGCGCTCGCTATGAGCATGAACAAGGCCCAAGGCCAATCCTTCAGCAAGGTTGGACTGTGGCTTCCCACCGATGTCTTTAGTCACGGTCAACTTTATGTGCCCCTCTGCCGTTCGAGGTCGCGTGAAGGTATCATTGTGCAAGTCGCCAATCAAAACCAGTCAACGTCGTTTTCACTGAAGTCCTGTGAAGTTCTACACTCTAAGATTTGCTGTTACGAATGCTCCTTTGTTACTGTTGTTGTCTCATAGGCCTTTTCTGCTGTACATATTGTTGTTGTTGTTGGCATCTTCTTTTTTAATGTATTCGCTGTTGCAGCCATTCTATGTTGTTGTTAATTGCATACTATTTGTTGCTTATGATGTTGATTCAATAAACTTGCAGGTACAAAATTATGTCTTCGGTCTGTCGATCTAAACAGGTCATAAACAGAAGTAATTCGTCCGAACAGGCAATCAAATGACTTGATCTTACATTGGTATACATTAAAATGAAAAGTGTACGAGGCAGCGAAGCTGCCGAGTAACAGCCGAATCTGCCGCGTAGCGGCAGAGAGCGGCTGGTACAGTAATCATTTCATATGATCATGAACCCGCACAAACCGTCCATCTTTGGCGTCCTCATCCTGGATTTGCGATCACAAAACGTAGGAGACTGACCGATTGCTATGGCTTACATCACTTCGAGGTGAATAGTACCTAAAAAGGAAAGGAAACGTTGAAAACACCTGCCTCCTCCAAGAATGCAGAATGAGAACGCCAAAGGCGGACGGTGTGTGCAGTGTCACACATGACCATAGAAAATGATTCGACTGTATGCGGGGAAGCCACATCACAATACTTGCCTAAACGATAGCACCGAAAGGAACTAAGGGCGAGTCCAGGCTGCAGTGGATTAGACAAATTCAAGACCGACAAAGGAATAGGTAAAATAACTTGCCTTAGACGGAGCATGGTAGAGCTGATTCAAAAAACAATTAAGAGGGCATACGAAGTTAAATTTATATCAATTTCTGAAGCATGCATTTGCCAAGATTAGAGCACAATTTGCAAAAGCAAAAATACAAACAAAATTAGTTCGTACAAACTGCAAAAACTTCAACATTGCAGTTCAAATTCGACCTGAAAAATCCCATCAAGCTACAGCCGTGGGAATATCTTCACTCAGATGTGAAGCCGGGTGATGTTCTTGGACATGGCGCATTCGGTGAAGTTCGAGCTGGAAGTTTGCACCTTAAAAGTGGAGAAAACATTGAAATAGCCATCAAACTGGTAAATTATTCATTTCTAGGCAGATATCGCAAGCTTCTGCGAGTAACAGCCGGTTTACTGACATTAGTTTTACAACTAATCTAAAGAACTGCATTGTTTAGATGATGACATCGATTATGCAATTGTTATATAGGTCTGTTTTTTAGACCAAAGGATCTTCTGATCTCTGCAAAGCCAAGATCAAAGAAATGATGAAAGAAGCTCGACTAATGCGTAATTTCAAGCATAATAACATCGTTCGTATTTACGGTGTTGCTGTGGACGAGCAACCACTTTATATTTTGCTGGAACTCGTTACTGGTACGTACACATGATACCTTCTGTCTCAATAACATTGTTGCCGGTTGCTTCGGCTCGGGAGGATGATAGATTAATCAGCGAACACGCAAAGTCAAGCTAAGCGGCTGCGCGGGGAGAGAGGTATATGACAAAGATGAGCGTTTCACACTTTACATAGAGTAAATTCGTCCACGAATATGGATTTCAACATACGCCAAGCCATTTTGGGCAAACTGCTATTAGCGTCTCTCGCCCATTTGGAGAGTACGTATGCGCGTATGCACGAAACCATTATGTAAGCGTCTTTTTGACACTTATAAAAAATGCGAAGTTTTCAAAGAATCACATGTATGTCACAGAGTCTTACTAGGAAAACACGAAGTTTTTTGCATCAACTTTCTTTTTAATATATTTTGCAAAGGGTATGTCTGGGAAATCTCCCTCTAATTGTAAGGTAAGCGTTATAATATAGGTTGTTTGTCATTAGCTGCATACATTTATCACATCAAAAAGACATTGTCTGCGGTCTAAACCGCAGACAAAAATCTGAACAATATCGCAACGTCCTGTATTCTTTATAGAAATTGGGCCATCAGTATTATTACTGCATAGAAATTACTTTAGAACTCTTCTTTTTTATCTGAAAAACTGGCGTGCATACGTGAGCATGTATAGGCTGCTGCTTGACGAAGGTACAATATCTTTGGGCGCGAACCAGGGCCCGGCATAGATCGTCTGGAAGCAGGCTGGACTTCGTTTTTGAAGCAAACAGCAAAGGAGATATCGTTTTGGACGAGTCGGAACCGAGCACCAAGAATAAGCGCCATTTAGGCGAACGCAAGCTTTTCGGGCAGGTTATCACACATTCTATCGTGCAGGGCGAAAAGTGCGCGCGATTTGAAAGCAAGGTTTAAACAAACAAATTGCTTGTTTACAGAGCACACAGAAGCATATGACACCAAAGTTGAACTATATGAATAGAAAATTATTTGCGAAAGTATTATGTAAAAAGATTCAAAACTTATGTGAAATAATACCCTTTCCAAAATTAGATCGTCTCCAGACGGCCACCAGACGATCTGAGATCGTCTGGAGCATATATTTTCGTCACTTCACATAAGTTTCGGATCTTTTTAGTATGGACGGATTCCCCGGTCAAAAATCTATCCCCGAGCATGAAGACATTTTCATATCATTGCCTTTCCTTTGTTTTCTGCCTTCATTTCTTCTCGCTTTGTTAAATATCGCGCTCTAATGCCAAACTCTTGTGTGTAGTATTCAGCTCCAGTTTGGATGTTCACTCTTATCTTAAGTCTTTTCTTTCAGACTAGTAAATCTTTCTTGTTTTCATCTTCTCCTAAGCAGGTAGGTCAAGAGGGACTTCCTAAAACTTCCGAAAGTCAGGGGAGACTTCGTTTTCAGAAACCCTACAAGCCGACTAGTGCCGGGCTCTGGTGCGAACGCGGCTTTATTATCCGCAGAGCGCGTGAAGCGCAGGAATTACAACTGTGAGGACACGCGCGCGGTGCTTTCGCGCTCCTTCCACTAATACTGCTTCTGCGCTTCCTCATGCATAGTCTTTACGCAAATGCTAAAAAGGAATCAGGGGGTGTGTAAGGGCTTACGCACACGGTCGTCAACTGTTAAGCTCCGAAAATCTTGTCAAAATATCAGCAAGTCTAGATAAAGAGACTTTATGATTAACAATACGAACGAGAAACTTTACTGCTTTTCTTAGCTGCAGCCGAGCAATGCGCGTTTTGACTTTTTCAAACAAGCGAGGTTCGGGCTGCACGTGGTAACACTGCCATTGAGGCAGAGGGGTGGTTGATGGGAGGACTGAAAGAGACAAAAGTTTAACACAAGCGCAATCGCTCGACCGTCAAAGACTGCACATCTACCATCATTTGCCATTCAGGAGGTGCGTTGAACTCATGGTTAAAAGCAAACGCCGGCAAAGTGGAGGTAAAAGACAAACTCAGTATGTGTCTTGGAGCTGCTCAAGCAGTTGAGTACCTTCATGCGAATCATTGTATGCACAGAGACTTGGCTGCGCGAAACTGCCTTATCACTCAAGATCGAGTCGTAAGTTCTAAATGAATTGACGCATGTGATATATTGCATTCTTTTTCAGGTGAAAATCAGCGATTTTGGGCTTTCGCGCATGGGCGTACAGTATACCATACGTGCTGCTATGAAACTTCCAATCAAGTGGCTTGCACCGGAGACTATCACAACGTTTACTTTTTCACTCAAAACCGATGTCTTCAGCTTTGGAGTTGTAGTGTTCGAGATTTTCTCAGATGGCGAAGAACCCTGGACGGGAAAAACGAATGCTGAAGTTAAAGTTGCTGTATGTATCACTTTGATTTGATTCAGCACTGGATGCACTAATCCTCCATTTAGGTTACAAACGGTCAGTACGTGCAGATGCCTCAATGCTGCCCAGATCCGCTTCGGATATTTATTTCTCAACGAGTTTTCACCCAAGATCCTTTACAACGAGCCAATATGCCCGAAGTGCGTTATGAATTTTACAGTCAGGATTTTTGCATCGTTTGTGATGAGATAATCAGAAACACCTGCTACCACTGTGCATTCACCTTTTTCGGCAGTTTTTTCTGTAGCTGGAACTATTATTAAGAAGACAGCGTATCTAGCAGTGATTTGAGAATAATCATTTGACAGTGAACATTGTGCACTCCTGTTTATCCCAAATTGATTTTTGAGTTCCAAAAATCAGGTTGTCCCATAAGTTCCGTCCGTTTTAACTTTCGATCGCAATAGGTCATGAATTTCTTGGTTCTAGACAAGTTTTAGGGTACCGTTCGATAGAGCAAAGTAAGCTCTACAAGATGAGCTTCTTATTTCGCACCAGTTCAAATTCATCGCAAGTTTGAAGCCAAAAACCAAAAAGATCTAACCTCCCGAAGAACAAAAAAATCGTAATTCTTCCTGAAAAAAATCCTAGAGAATTTCTAACTTGCTCACAGATACGCTATCCACATCTGCCCTTTAAATATAGTGTTCCTGTACTTTTTCCTTGAAAATAGAGAAAACGAAAATTTTCATGTTAATACCAAAGTGATGTTGTGCTGTTCTCACTCTAGTAGTTGTATACTACAGACCAGTACAAGTAGAGACATGAATTTTCAGCGCGCTACAGGCTTTAGTTCTCGAAAAATAATCGTTTCAATATGGGACACCGACTGTGCGAAGCTAAATTTAGTGTTTCTCGAGAACTAAAGCCTGTAGAGCGCTGAAAATTTTTGTCTGTACTTGTACTGGTCTGTAGTACACAAATACCGACGTGGGGACAGCACAGCATTACTTTGGCAAAAACATGAAAATTTTCGTTTTTTCGATTTCTACTCCAGACAAAAATACAGGAACAGTATATATAAATGGGTGATGTGGATAGCGTATCTGTGAGAAGTTAGAAATTTTCTAGGATTTTTTTGAAAGGAGTTATGATTTTTTCTCGATTTTACCGGCGGTTAGATCTTTTTGGCTTTGGCTTCAAACTCGAGATGGATTTGAACTGGCGCGAACATGGAAAACTCATTTTGTACAGCTTGCTTTGCTCTATCGAACGGTACCTTAAAACCTGTCTAGCATCAAGAAGTTCATGACTTATTGCGATGGAAAATCAAAACGGACGGAACTTATGGGACAAGCTGATATATTCTTGAGGTCTATATACTGACACTCTTTTCGTGGAAAAAAATTTCATGGAAACAAAAAGTTTTTTTTGTATGCTATCAAAATGGTATCCTTAATTGATACAATTTTGTTTGTCACTTCCAGGTAGTTGGAGTTTTCGAAAGAGCTCTGGCGTTAGCAAATTCTCCGACGAATGCCGATAGTGGACAAAAACGAATGAAGAAGCAAAAGTATCGTATATTATTATTATATACTTTCCATTTATGAAAACAAACTAGACATCTTTTTTTTATATTCTAAAAGAATTGAAGAAAGGCATGAAATGTAACATTCTTTCTCTTTCCTTATTTAGTCTGGTTAAAAAACAAACTTAAAATTTCGAAAAGTGACTGAAGCAAAATTACGACTTCAACTCAAAAATGTTGATTTTTTGTTGTTTTTTCTAAATGCCCAAATCAGGACAAAGGGGGGAAGGAAAAATGTATCGAATGCGGCGTAGTAAATTGCCTATCCACAGATTTTGTATTTAGTGTTGAGTAGATTGTTAAACCTTAGATACATAGTTTAAGGTCAATCTACCAACTTCTACTAAGTGATACTCGACGCTTGGCTCACCCTTTTGCAAGTGCTTCGCGAGGAGATTAATGCATGAGGTTTGTACCTGTACCTAATACCCCTGTCATATTACTCTTGATATTCATTGTAAACAGACTGTATGATTTTTTTATTTTGATTTACTAGCAAAAAAGAGGTATTTGCAGGTTTACGTCGTCAACATGCTATATTTGCTTTTAATCCAGTATGAAGAAGACACGTGCACCTAATCAATTATCTTGGTTAAATCGATATCAGTTTCAATGAGATAAAATTGACGATGGTCTTCAGCGTCGTTGTAGTATGCCAACACTGCAGAATTGTTCGAAAATTTGCCACTCTCTTCTGCTAGTAGTAACATGAGTAAAATTAAAGAATCGGTTAAGGTTTCGATATAAGAATGTTGTTAGCCAAGCACCGTTGATTGAAAATGCGAAATGTTCAAAGTACTTACCCCTTAAGAATGATTTCAGTGCCTATTATCTTTTTAAGACAAAACTTTGGGCCTCAAATAAGCTCTGTTGGATTTCACTTCTCAGGCTGGCAGCGAGTGGAAATTCCGCACCTCAATAACTAATCAGCCACATCGAACATACTCAACTCTGCAGCCAGCAATAATCTAATCCATTGGAGTAGTGGTTGGGAGGAAACTGAATGCAAGCTTTCCATCTCTTTTTGGCCTGCTGTATGCGCTGAATTCAGGATTGTGCTTGAAATTTCTTAAAATGTCAGAAAAGTGCTTTTTATGGCGTGGCATTCTTCCGATTTAGAGGGCTGAAGAGGCAGGATTGGAGATTCCTGCCAACTGAAAAGCGATTGGCCACTCGCAAATTTCTACAACCACCCCTTCAGAGATAACGTCCAGACAAATTCGAACGCTTGGGGATCGCAATTGAAAGTGATTTCAGGGAGCGGGGCTAGCTAAGAGACTGCCCGACGGCAACTCAATGCAATTTGCGGTTGAGATATTCATGTCCAAACAAGATTTGCTGTCGTATCTGGTGGACTTGTATTGGCTTGCAAGAGATGGGCCCCGCAAAGTGCTCCAACAAGTTGGCACTGTGACCTTTACTTGCGTTTCATATTTCGCACAAGCGATATTTTTGAAGGCTCTTTTTAAAAAAAAGTTTATCGAGCGCTCTATACTTTGGCTTATCTAACGTGGCCGTAGTTCAGCATACATTCTAATGCCAACTTACCAAGTTTCACTGCTCAGAGCTCAGTTGTCAGTTGGCTACACCAGCCGTCCACAGTTGACAACAAAGAACAGTGCAAATGTTTTGGACAAGCTTGGGGAAAGCGAGCTAGTTAGAACCACAGAGTGATCAAAACTTCTTCAGGTCATTGTTTAGATAAAAGTCTATTGTTGCTATTCATCTCTGGCAAACGAGAGTTAACTAAGCCATCAACGTTCTTGAGGTGAGATGTTTTAGGAGACTGCCAGTACTTCACACTTTACTTTGAATTCGCCTCATTTTAGTACCTCTTTTTATGTTTTCCCAGCGAACTCACGAAAACTCCTTGAGGTCACCGGATATGTCTTTTTGCTGGCTACGTGTCTGTTTACACGCACAAAAATTGGTCCAGATGTTTCGCCGATGTAAATAGCCTGAGATATTCGATATCACAAATCGAAACAGCGCAACTTCTTGAGCAATCCTTCAGCCTTTCTAATGTACACAGTACACTGCTGTGCGTGGCAAGCCTATAGAATCTGTTCCAAGCCAACTGGAATGCCCTCTCCTCTCGCCCAGGATCCCTGACTAATTTGTCCAGTCAAGTTGAACTTATGATGCTGCGTTCGGGCAGGAACATGAACCGTGGCAAAGGTGTCTCTGAATAACGTGGTGTACAGCGGCCTACATCGCCACGTCACTTTTGTTGTTTTCACTTCTGCACCCAATGTGTATTACGTAAATAATTACCCTATTTTCCGGCTTATAAGTCGCACCTTGTATAAGCCGCACCCGACGTAGCGAACAGTGGAGCGAAAGCGCCTTCAAAAGAGAGTTATTTAGCGAAACGAAAACTAGGTGCGCTTTTGGGTCCTCTTTAGTGCAGAAAATCATGTCTTCAAATACTTTTTTAATCCTTTCAAAGTGTATGTTAATTTTGGTGTCACAGGTGGGAGGAAGTCCTATATAGCCAAATTCAAACTGAAAGCATTGGATTATTTTGCCGAGAATGAAACCGGCCAGGCTGCTCTACATTTAGGTGTCAGTCGCAGAATGATACAAAGATGTCGAAGTGTTCAGGAGAAGCTCAGAAAGTGCGAAAGAAATAAGAGGATGTTTAGAACTCCACCAAAATCAGCATTAGAAGAAAGCTGAGTGAATGGATTATCGAGCAGCGTGTACGAGGGAAAAGATTTACAACCGTATTAAGGGCCAAAGCTATTAAATTAGCACAGAAGCTTGGATAACTTCACTAGTGGTGTTCACTGGTGCCATGGCTTCATGAAAAGGAAGGGATCTTTCGTCAGACACCAGCGTTGGCCAGCCATTTTTATCAGATGCTGAAACCCAGATGGCTGACTTCAGAAAGTTCGTGATCGACAACACAATAAATATGGCTCCAGCAAACTGAGGAAACTTTGATGAGGTACTTTTCCTGCGATGTAGTCGCAACAGAACAATCGAAGTAGTGGCGATTACTACAACGGGTCATGAAAAGAAAAATTTGACAGCTGTGCTGGGTGTCACCGCTGATGGCAGCAAACTCAGTCAATGCTGATTTTCAAACAGCTTACAATGCCGAAAGTGAGATTTCCAGGAGTTGTTGCCATCAAAGTGAACCAGATGGGGTGGATGACAGAAGCGATTATGAAGGACTGGATCAGAGAGTGCTGGCTGACAAGGCTGAATGCGGCGCAAGAACCTAACCACTCAATGCTCACTTTAAACTCCGCAAGATCTCATTTAGGCGACGAAGTCAAAGCTGAGATTAAAACGTTTTTAGAATTGCGGTTATTCCAGGAGGTTTGACAAACTATCTGTAACCACTGGATGTCGCTGTCAACAAAACTTTCAAGGACAATTTGAGGAAGGATTGGGACGCTTGATTGGTCGACAGTAATCAGGTGGAGTTGACTAGAGGAGGAAGAAAAAAGTCGTTGTGGTTGGAGTTGGTTTGGAATGGGTGCTCCAGAGTCGTGATGTCAGCCTTGATTCGGTTCTTAATGTAATCAACGAAGCCTTAACAACAGGTATAAACATAGACGATCTCGATAATAGCTTCTCGTCAATGCATCTTGAGGATAGCGAAAATGCTACTGTTTGTTTGTTTCATATGACTTTGCGGGTATTAGGTTGTGTTTTCTGTCCTAAATGATACTAGGATTGAATGTGCTTTTTTTTCAAGGATGTTACTGATGCTGAAGCTTCTTTTATTTCAATTTACAGGTTCAAAGTTTATCACCTTTCGATTCCGATGTTACTACTGGTATTTGAACGTTCTTTTATTGTTCCGCGGACTCTAAAAGAATAAAGAAGATGGAGAATTTGGTTACAAACAAATCACAACCGCGAATAAACCAAATAATGAATAAAAGCAGAAAACCAGTGATGGTTGCTAGGGGATAGGTAATATTAGGTCGTTCCATAAGTTCGTAGCGTTTTTATTTTTGTCGTCGTCTCCTGGTGAGGCGGTAGGTTTACCGCAAAATATGTGTACCCTCCAAAAGAGCCAATTCTACTCTACAAGAATTGCGTTTCATTCTCAAGATAAATCTGATGACCTTTGTTTTGTGACTGCTCAAAGCAGCGTTTTTTGTGTAACAAAAAATAGCGCTTTCGGCATCTCCATCTTCGGCGCTATATACGGAAATTACGAGAGGAAAATTTCAATTCGAAATTGTTATGAGTGATGAAGAATACTGTTTACCGGACTATGATGCACGTAGAACAAGAATCCTTGTCAAGGGAGACGCTACAGAGAATGATAGAGCGCACTTTTACGGTATGTGTGGATGTTTTGCGTTTGCCCGGAATGAGGAAGTATTCTGAGCCGAAATTTTTCGGGAAAGCGTAAAATCGCTGGCAACCGGTTGCATTCAAACTTTTGCACCACCTAGACAAAGCTGTTCATCGCTCAAGGCTTGATAGCAGGACGAGAACATTCTGTTACGAAATGACGTGTAAAACTCAAGCTGCCGCAGTCGAAGACAGCAACTTTTGAGACTTCGTTCAAACAGTTCTTAGCATATTGGTTGGACACCATTGTGTCAGCACATCAGCGTTGCTTGCTACTTGCTACTCCGACTATACATACAAAGAAATATTTGTGGACTATAGACGAAATGCGAAAAGCACAGGTGCCGAAATGGCCATTTTCTGCCACTCAAAAAACTTTGCTTTGAGGAATTATGAACCAACGGTCATCAAAGTTGCTTCAAAAACAACAAGTAGGTTTTGTAGAGCAAATTTGGCTGTTTCGATTGATAGCAGATAATTTGCCGTAAACCAACTGCTTCACCAGAAAACGACGATGAAAATGGAAACGCTACGAACTTATGGAACGACCTAATAATTGGTGTTTGTGCAGCTTCGCGCACCGCGAACGACATCGCATTCCAGCCGCGCGCGAAGGAAAGAATTGCGGTCTATACGCCGGAAAATAGGGTATAGGGTAACTATATATACCATATACAGAGTGCCTTAAAAGTAAGTACACACATTTCGATCCTATTATCTTCCCATTGTGTCTGTTTCCGCCTTTAAAAACCATTCTGTAGAGGAGGCTTAAACTTAGAACTACAGTATCGAGCGAATTACCGACGACAAGGATTTAGGTTATTAGAGCCATATTTTGCATTGGAACAAAACCAAACAACTCTTATACTATGCTAATGGAAGCCGCTGATTTCGAATATGAGAGCTATGGTGCTTCGTTCCTAAGTTAGCCCAGGTAAACCGTAATGACCGAATTCCCAGTATTTGTCAGAAATGTGACTACACAGTCAAAAAAGCTGAAAACCTCTTAAAAACTTATGTAGTAGAACCAGCATGCGCAAAAATCCTAGTACACGATTTTTCATATTTTCTAAAAAAAACTCTGTCAGATGGCATATTCCACAATGGTTCCGCATGCTGGAAATTCTTACCGTAATCCTACAGTACCGAAGACCAGTCGGTGATTCGCTTGATACTGTAGATCTAAGTTTAAGCCTTCTCTACAGAATGGTACTTGATTGGCAGAAAAAGACTCATTGGGAAGAGAGATATTGACGACTGAAAAGTGTAAGTACACACTTTTCAGTCGTCAATATCTTTAGTACGTCAATATCTTATCTTTAATATCGTTACTTTTGGGACATGTTGTATATTCCAGAAGCACTCTACCGAGGAGTACATAAAAGGGTGTGCATTCCATTTATCTCAACCATGGAACCGACGTGCACAAACCTCAGGCTTTTAAGGTTAAAAAACAGTACAAGCAGCACTTGACTCCAAAAGGCTGACCTTTTCACTAACAACACAAAAGCATAGCCCTACGTAGGCGGTCGCGGATGCTACTTTCTGCGTACCCTAAACGTAGTTTGCAGCACCATCTTAAGCAAGGGAGATACCAAAATTCCTCAAACAGAGTAGTGGTTGGACAATTGTTAACTGTCTGTTTGAGGCTCCGCATAAGGACCAAGCTTCTTTTTTAGCGCTAATGATCAGGCAATCAAGATCCAAGTTTTGAATAAGTTTAACATTGACTTTATCAACGTGTTTGGAATATTGGACTTGAAAGTCATTTTCTTGTTACGTTGAAAAAATTGGAGGAATAATATGCATGAGAGGCTATAACATATTTCACACTGTCACGAGTCTAAAATGGGTGCTTACCATCATACTTTTACCACTGAAGCATACTACTCACCGCTTTCTTTAAGCTGATCCCAATGGGGGAACCATTATTTCCATTTTTCGTTCAAATTAATGTGCACTGCTATTATTTATCCGGATCTTTTGACAACTGCAGGTTCGTTCTACACTGTGAAATTATGAGTTATCATCACCACCAATTCAACAAAGAATTAGATTTACGTTACAGCCAGCGATACAAGGCCATTTACACGCACTAAATCACTGTTTGATGGTGATCAATGCTGACACAGCTGCTCACCAAAAAATAATGGCTTTGTTTATTGGTTTGGTTTTCAAAATTCGTGGTTTTGAAATCCTTTGTAAATGAGATCTCTATTACATGGAATACTCGCAATTTGCTCGAGCTGTGTACAGAGAGAAGGAAGAAAATGAAAAGAAACAAAAGAGAACATGGAAGGGTTCCTTCATACTACGCCGCAGGACGCGGCGTACTGCGGCGCACGCCGCAGTAAAGGATATTCGTTGACGACAATCCCGTTTTGTGCATTTACACCACCGCGGGCGTGCTTTTTTGAAGCCTTTCCAGCTTTACAGTACGCTACAGCGCGCAGGGAATTCGCAGCTCGCAGCATCCCTGTCCTTTAACCTCTTCCGCATTTCTCATCTTTTTTTTCCTTTTTGATCTTCAGTTCAGGCACTTCCTTATCAGTTACTCTTTCTCCTTTTCTCTGAAGTTGTCTCGGGTCGGGCATGCTACAAGTTCTGCTTTGATTGATACTGAAAGAGCAGGAAAAAAAGTTTGGTACAATTATTTAATTCATGCTCCTTTTTACATACCATACAAACGTTTTCAGAATCGTAAACTATCGTCCCGGAGAAAGAATGTGCTTTCTTCATAAGCAGTGATCGCTATCGTGCCTTCTCCTCAAATGAGACCATTAAAATTGTTTATTTTAGCACACCTACATGTCCTCCTTGATGTAGAAGTGCTGAAACAGCCACTTCAGCAGTCTCTCTTGAAAAAAAGGCAAATCATTATGAAACACTGAAGAAAACATTGCACTCCCAATCATAACCACGATATCCGCCATTGCAACTTTTAAGAAAACTCATTATTCCTTCCGATTCTTTCCGGAGCAATGATTTTGCGTGTATAAGAACGTGTAACTGCCTAAAGTGAAAATTAAGGAGAAAAAACGATGTGAAATACTCAAACAACAAAAAGAGGTTAAAGGATGGGCATGCTGTGAGCTGCGAATACCCCGCGAGCTGCAGGCTACTGTAAAGCTGGAAAGGCTTCAAAAAGGCACGCCCGCGATGGTGTAAATGCACGAAACGGGGCGGTCGTCGACGAATATCCTTTATGCAGCAGCCTGCCGCAGCACACGACAGCACGTCGCGTACTGCGGCGTGCGCCGCTGCAGTCGCAGTGAAAATATAAGCTCGATCGCTGTGAAGGAACACTCGAGGAACACGAACGTGCAAAATATAGATATACATCAATAACCAGACACGCATTGAAAAGAATCAATTTTGTTCGTACTCGTGCTTTGGCATGTCGTCTGATGCGCACTATAACGCACGCCATCATTTAGAATTTTTTGAAGAGGAAGAAGAGAAGAGAGCAGGGGGTCTGGGGCTTATGACAGTCCACCGTAAAATTCATAAAGTTGCTCGAAGCACCTACGTCGCTTTCGTGCACGCTGGTTTTGGCCCTGGAGGACTAATGTTGTGCGCATAGCAGAAACACTGAAACTATCAAAATAATCGTGATAGTGAGACCATCACCTCAAGTAACTATTGTAATTTAGCAACAGAAAATTATTCAAACCTGCTCAGAAAAGTCTGAGAACAACAGCGGCTATCGCGATACATCAGGAAAATTTTGAGCTGATGAGCTATTCTTTGCCATTGAGCGAAACAAGCAAAGATCATCCGGTTACATGATGTCGCAGAAGTCTTCAAGCTTGTATTCTTCAGCTGAATTTTGAGACATACACAGACGAAATTTGGTATACAGCTGTTATATACAGGTCAACAGCAACGTAAGCTCATAGTTCGAATTATCGCCAAATGACCTAAGAAAAACCTCGCAGAATCTAGAGAAGGCATCCGTCTGGCATACGGGCGGGTAAATGACAGAATCTAGGGGAGGGCCTCAGTAGTGAGACGGGTACCTGATGTCGAAATTATCTAGTCTGGAACATAGATAGTGCAGGTGCTCTACAGGATTGATCACAAAGAAAAGTCCAGGGGTTCATTCCTGACGACCAAATGTACGCAATCTAATTGCAAAACTGCTAAAATGTTGCAATCAACATGGGCACATTTAGAAAAAGCAATCATGGTGTAACAGCGCAACTTTTGAATGAATATTTAGTGGAGAATGCAAGCATTACGGTTAGAATCAGCGACTTAGACTGATTTGTTTTAGAGTTTTCAGCTTTTTTGGATTTTCGTTTCCATATATTTCTTCTTTTTCTCAAAAAATAGACACTACTTTGTGAATTCGTTTTTAATCCTACGCTAATAAGCAGGAGTCGGTGTTTTGAATTACTCTGTACAGGGTGGGGTAGAGGTCTGGAAGCTTAGTACTTTTTCAGATAAAAACAGAAGGAAAGTGCCTAAAAACAAAAGCTTCGGAGCACACAAAATTCGAACCTTCAGAAATACAGCGCAGCTCTCAAATTTCGAGATTGCCTTATTTGGCTTAAAGCAGCCCTTCAAAATCTTAGCGAGTCCGCCTGTCGTGGAACGAAGGCAGTCGTGATGAAATTCGTCCCACGCCTTCACGATGATTGCTTCTTTCGTTAGGCGAATGTGCAGTATGATAGAGCAAGCTTTTGACTACAATATATTACGAAGAAGTTTCTTTGCGATGTTCAGGAAAATTTTTTTGGAATTTCATGTGAAGGCAAGTCTACTTGAAAACTGGAAATTTGGACGCGATTGCGCTCACGGGAGCGAAAAATCACAATTCAAAAAGTATTGAAATCGCTCCATCGATCGAAATCGAGTGAATGCTTATATAGAAGACTGGAAAAATTATAGCTTGAAAGTTCACCTGCTTGATTCATATAGCTTCTCAAATATATCCTAAAAACAAATGACCACTGGCACGCAGGTAATATTCGCAAATTTTCATTTTGAGTTTTCGAAAGAAGAGCTTCTGGCAAACGCCATTACGATCTCATAGCGCAAAGCCTCCTACGTAATATGCATTAAAGTATTAAGTAACCAGCTTTAGTTACAGAAAAAATTGTAAATACTGAGAATTTCGATTTTCTCGCTCTGCAGAAGCACTTGTTTCATAAAATCAATTCTCACAAAAACATGTGGCAGGCATTCTTACCTAGGTAAAGTGTGCTTTGTAGAGGATGACAGCAGCAGTATGTGGCACAAACTTGGAATCAAAATCATCAGTGGTTTTATGGATTATAAAACTGCAAATTTGGCTTCCAGACTTTTGCCCCACCCTGTAAATATCCAGCAAATCTACTTCTACAATATAGGGCTTAAAAATCAGCGAAAAGTATCATGGCAAAAGAATTATAGAGAATGGATCGCGAAATTTTTAAAAGTTACTCAAATGGGGCATAAAAATGTGTAAACGACTTGTTTTTGATTGTAAATAATTGAAATAATTTTTGAAAATTGTCAAAAATCCTAAAATCTGGAAAAAGAGGGCGTATCTGACGCCACGCTTTGCAAGGCTTATTTGAATTTTTAAAAATTTTTAAAATTATTTTAACTGTTTACACGATTAAACAAGTCACTTGCGCATTTTTATAACTCTTATAAAAAATTTTCAAAAAATTCTGGGATAGTCCTCAGCCGATACTGAGCACGGCTACAAAACGTATGCAGAATATGTTCATGATGAAATGAAGAGGGAAACTCATGCGTTATTTCTTCAAGCCAATTCAGGTGTGCTTCACAGAAGGGTCGAGGTTGGAAAAATATGTTGGAAGTGGTATGTTGGAAAAAAATTTTGGGATGTTTTGATTTATATGGATTTTTCATCTCATACATCATCTCCACACGTTACCTCGCACTTGCGCAGCACTGGTGTCTTCTTTATCAGGCAGTAGTAAAAAACCTTCAATTGGGTAATTCTGTTGCGCCTTTACTCATTTCTTCTAAAATTCCTATTCCAATTTTCCAACAGTCACATTTTGCGAATCCAAATATACTCATTTTCTCCGGGTTTATCTCAAGACTCCGTAAGACATCGACATCCCTTGCTTTTTGCCCCAGTACAATATATCTACCCTGCCGATGTGCACCCAGAGCCTTGGAGTATATTGAAGAATTCTTAAAGAAAGAAAGAAAGAAATAATTCTTAAAGAAATAATGATCTGCTGATGTTTTTTTTTTCAGAACTAATCAAAACTGTGATACATTCTTCATTGTACATCATCAGATCTGCTTATATTAGCATATCAGTCAAACTACTGAAATAGCATAGTTTTTATCGCAAAATTTGTAGTCGGTTAAGATGTCACTCGTTGACTTTAGTTGCTTTTATATACTGTGAACCAGCGGCGTACCCAGGATTTCGGCTCAGGGGGGGGGGGGAGCGACAAAAAATTTTTTCCAATGAAGGTGCGTGGCGTCAGCTACGCACTCCGAAAATTTTTTTTGGTATGCTCCCTAAAATTTTCGCGGGCTCAGAACCCCGAAATTTTCGCCCCCGAAAAAAATTTTCTGTAAGGCTAAAACGTTTTAAAATGCTTTTCAAATTATTTTAATTACTTACAAGTGCAGGCAAGTCGTTTGCACAATTTTATATCCCATGCAAGTAACTTTCAAAAATTTCGCGACCCGTTCTCGGGGGGGGGGGCCTCGGTACGCCACTGCGTGAACACATGTACGTGCATATGTTCAGATGCAGGGAGAGAGCATTTGAGTAAAACACTTATTCTGAAAAGTAGTTTGATTGCCCAGGGCAGCAAAGGCAGCACGAGGCTTTTGAGATCAAGCATGAAACGGAACATAAAATTTAGAATTTCTTATATTAGGCTGGAAAAAAAGAACGTCACTTCTTATTTTCTCGTTATGGCATCGCAACAAAGCAAATCCTAGAAGCAGGTATGAGATACCATTCGATAGCGCGAAAGAAGCTCTACAGAATGGCGTTACTGCTTTCGCGTCAAGTTTAACTATTTGAAGTTCGAAGACGGGATCTAAAAGTTGCTCGTGCTTTTCAGTTCCCGTGCAAGTAATTCTATGGTATTAAATCTGGGTGACCGTAGATTCAGCCATTTAGAAGCTTTGATTCTCGAAATATATCCAGTTTAATTCAAAAACAGAAGAGAAAAAAGCTAACGATATTTCTCGAGAACTACTTCCTGTAGAAAGCTGAAAATCCACGGATGTACTTCAAAGGCTTAGTATAGTACGGAATTACCTATGCGGGAACATCCCAGCATCACTTTGGCAGGAACATGGTTATTATCAATTTTTCGATGTCTAGCCGGGAAAAATCTACACTGTGCCTATGATCGTTTGATGGGGGATGTATGTTCGTGAGCAAGTTGAAGTCCGTAGAAAATTTTTGGACGATATAAGAAAGTTTTTTAAATTTTTCCTCATTTGAAACTTCTCACAATTAGACTCCGTCTTCAAGGTTCAAACTTGGTGCAAAAGCAGTAAGCATTCTGTAGAGCTTGCTTTGCTTTATCAAATGGTATCTCATACATGCTTTTGAGATTTGCCTTGTTGGGATGCCACGAGGAAATAAAAAACGACATTCTTTTTTTCCGAACTATTATTTCGTAATTATTGTTGAAATGTCGCTTTTTTTTCTATTATATTTCAACCATTAAGCGTGCTATAAACATGCTATGTACGATTTTATGTCATCTCGGGCAAAAAGAAAAGGCTTGCGCCTTTTTATCGCTGAAAAAAAATGATATATAACACCACCTACATGGCCCGAAAATCAAAAATTTATGCTCTTTTTTTTTGAAGCCATTTGATATCCGATTTCAATAGGCTTCCTTATTGAGCAAATCTAGACCCTTACAAAGGGACCCGTGTAGTTGAGGCAATCAGCAGATACTGAATGTCCTTTTGATTGTACAGGTCTCCCAAAGGTATGTACATAATGCTTGATCTTCTTGTTACGATATATCTCTTAACAGAAAGTTTTTTGCGGCAATCAGATGAAAGTGTAAGTTAATGTAGGTTACGGTAGAAATTGTCAATTTCTAGCATTGATTGCCATTATGAACTGAGCCTCCATCTGAACCGTTGTCTAGCAGGGTTTTCGTTGGGGTGAAAGGACTAGCATTACGTAGAGGAGGTCTTGATTGAGGTATGTTGCTTTACCCAACATGCATTGTTTAACAGCACGTTTCTGACTTTAACCTGCAAAGACAAGCAGGCGGATCTTCGAACAAATACAATACCGCTCACAGAATGTGCAAAATTTCCGTAAATGTCGCAGAATTCCGAGAATTCCGCGAAGGTTCGCGAAATTCCGGGAATTTTGCGACAATCCCGGAATTTCGCGACATTCCCGAAATTTCGCGAAATTCGTGTAAATCACGCAAATTACGCAGGGCCATAACTTCGTTCCGAATGAGTATATTCAAAATCCGAAAACAGCATTGTATTCAGCTCGTCAAGGCGAATCTTTTGGTGTACAGGTTGTCTCCAATATCCTCTTTTCAATAATCTTGAATCTGCATGCGGACGCCTTTTCGCGTGGGTGTAACGCAACAAGCATCACACATAGGAGATTGCGGCGGGCACCCTTCGATAGTACTCTTTCAGTAGATTATTCTGCTCTAAACAGCAGCCGAAGACTCTCTTTTAAAAAAGATAGAAGAGCAGATAAACTCTGGAAAAATCAAGCTGTTCCAAGTTCTACTAGCCGTAACTTCCTTCAGAATGAACATCTTCGAAATCCGAAAACAGTATTGTGTTCAGCTCGTTAAGGCGAATCTTTCTGTGTACAGCATGTCCTTGAAATTCCATTTCCAATTTTTTCAAAATTTTCTGCGCGCGTATATTCGCAAGGTCGCAACGCAGCGCACATCAAACATAAAAGACTCCAATAAGCATTATTGGATTGTGCTGCTCCCGCAGATTACCGAGCGCTAAAAACAAACTGGAGAATCTTTTTCGAAAAAGATAGAAGAGCTGGTGAATTCTGGAAAAATCGTGTTGCGTCAAATTTTGCCCACTGTAACCCTAAAATGGGAAGCTCTCCTGCTAAGCAGATGTGCTTTTCGTAATCAGCAGGTCAGATAACCTCTATGAGCAAGTTTTCAAAGAAATTCGGGTGATTTGATTTTTTCTCGTTCTACGCCCTGAAGCTCGCCGATGGGTTTTGGTCAAAATGTCGATGATCTTGGATTATAAGGAAACTTCGCTCAAAGAGGTTATCTGACCTGCTGATTACGAAAAGCACATCTGCTTAGCAGGAGAGCTTCCCATTTTAGGGTTACAGTGGGCAAAATTTGACACAACACGATTTTTCCAGAATTCACCAGCTCTTCTATCTTTTTCGAAAAAGACAATACTGTTTTCGGATTTCGAAGATGTTCATTCTGAAGGAAGTTACGGCTAGTAGAACTTGGAACAGCTTGATTTTTCCAGAGTTTATCAGCTCTTCTATCTTTTTTAAAAGAGAGTCTTCGGCTGCTGTTTAGAGCAGAATAATCTACTGAAAGAGTACTATCGAAGGGTGCCCGCCGCAATCTCCTATGTGTGATGCTTGTTGCGTTACACCCACGCGAAAAGGCGTCCGCATGCAGATTCAAGATTATTGAAAAGAGGATATTGGAGACAACCTGTATACCAAAAGATTCGCCTTGACGAGCTGAATACAATGCTGTTTTCGGATTTTGAATATACTCATTCGGAACGAAGTTATGGCCCTGCGTAATTTGCGTGATTTACATGAATTTCGCGAAATTTCGGGAATGTCGCGAATTTCCGGGAATGTCGCAAAATTCCCGGAATTTCGCGAACCTTCGCGGAATTCTCGGAATTCTGCGACATTTACGGAAATTTTGCACATTCTGTGAGCGGTATTGTACGCAGCAAGGTAGTTTGTTGGATTTACGAACTTTTGTGGCTTAGCTACAGCTCCTTCACCATATCTCTGCTAGAAAGCCTGTACCACGCAAAGACCACGGTTTCGTAAACAGAGTATCCGAGAGCATGAGCGAAACTTACTTTCATTCCAAGATCATCAATATTTTAGCCAAAACCCATCGGCAACCTGCGGAGCGTAAAACGAGGAAGAATCAAATAGCCTAAGCTTCTCGGAAAACTCGCTCACAGGAGTCATTAGGCCTGCATCCACTCAGCTAGATATCTTCAGATTTCAAGGTCACGGTGAATAGAACTTGGGAAGACATGATTTTTCCAGAATACACCAGCTCTTCTGTCTTTATGGAAAAGAAGTCTCCGGCTGCTTTCTAGCGCACTGGAGTCTTTTATGTGTATTGTGCGCAGCGTTGCATTCTTGCGAAAACGCGTCAGCAGAATGTTTGAGAAAACTAGAGACGGAATATTGAAGAATTGCTGTATCCCGCAATATTCGCCTTAATGAGTTAACCATCATGCTTTTCTCGTTTAGAATATATCCATTTTGAAGGAAGTTATGGCGCTGCGTAGTTCCAGTAATTCGCGTGATTTTCGCGAAATTGCCGGGCGACATTCACGGAAATTCTGCACTTTCTTTGAGCCTTACTGTATGCTCTATGTCACACTCATACTACGTTGCTGTATTGTTTTCGCTTAGAAATCAAAAACAAGTTGCAAACAATTTCATGAATTTTAAAAGTCGCGCTACGTTGTTTGCACATAAGTAGATGTATGCTACAATCCTCTGAATTTCTTCAGACAAAGGCATTTCCTCTTTATGAGCACCTAGAACTTTTTGAATTTCGACTTCAAACTTGAGGTGGGCCAAAGCTGGTGCACACGCCATCTTGCAGAGCCTACTTTGCTCTATTAAATGGTAGCTGATACCTATTTGAACGAAAAAAAAAATTCTACGACTCATAACCATCTATTCAAAATGTATAGTAGCTTCGTATTATAGTAGCAACAGTGTGCCCAGTCACTGAAGATCAAATCCATCTATAGCCTTGCTTTCGCACTAGCATGTTCATGCAAGATCAATAAGCGATCTTATCGTTACACTGGTAGCCATGATAATTCCCTTAGCATGCAGACATACCGTAATCCTGTCCGGGCCCCAATTTTCCCTGATTTACGGCAAAACTGCACCGTTCTCGGAAGCAATGAGCTCTCAATTACCAGACCCAGTAAACGTTCAATTTTGACAGCTCCTACTAGTTTTGATCATGATTGTGTGGAGAAAATCCTTAGTTTTGTCGAATCTAATCAATTAATATGCTTATGTTGTCCCCGCAGATCAGTAAATGCGTAATTTGATGAGTGCCTATAGGTTACCCCTCCCGCCGAAATGAAGTTGATTCAAGTGATGCCATATGCAATGCGCTTTTCTCAAAAAACTTGGTAGAGAAACGTCGTTTCAGGATGAAGTGGATTGTAGTTATACTCTTGTCCTTGACAGCCGCAGAAAGGTCTTTGACAGCCGCAGAAAATGGACAGCAGAGGGGTGGTGTTGGTGATTTCGTAAAACATTTTCCATCAAGAGTGGCCGAAGACGTGAAGGCGGAATCCCGGGCAGCAGATTCGTGAGTTTCCACAGAATTTGCTATCATTTTTAGATGAAAGTACATCAGATATATAACAGTTCACCATTGAACTGGTTGAATATAATTACTTGCTGACGTACCCGTCATTAACGAGATTAATATTACCTCACCCGTTCTCTTTGCTTCTAAATCACTCCCTTTCATCTAACAACAAGACATGTTCTGGGACTCACATGATGGGATACTCACCGTCCATGTTTTGAATGATCATATATCGAGATTCTCGCCTCAAACGCTTAATTCAAACTTAGTTCGTTAGCAAGACGAGTCTCGGAAAAGAAATAACGGACGAGAAAAAGGAAATAAACGGAAAAGTGGACGCAAATAGGCACGCCATAGTATATCAGACCGTCTTTCGTGCAAGAATTCAACGTTGTGTAAACCCCTCGACTCCGAAAAGAAACGCTGCTAATGACTTCTGTTAGGGTACCATTTCGCAGATAATAGCTGAAGATCAGCGTTTCAAAGCAAATCCCAGGACAGATACCACATGCCAAAAAACCTAACATAAGTCACTGGATATTCTCTCTCCGTTAAGCGTAACCAAGTGAACAAGTGATTGTGAACGAATGATCCAACTTTTAGTGGCGATGTCATGTATCTTTATAGTATGTTTCTCTTTGATAAATGGTTAGGTCGTTCCGAAGGTAATCACGCTTTTTTAGACGGGAATAAGATCGCGCAGATCAAGGGCTCCTAGAAACATTTTGAGCGCATTTACAGCTTTCCCCTCTTTTAGGGCCGCATGCACTAACATCGTCGCGGGGAGGGGATCGCAGCTTAGAAGAAAGCTTTATATTTCGAAACTCCAGTTACCTGGATTTCACGTTGTGTACCTATCCGCAAGCATTCCTACTACCCTTCACTATGAACATGTTGAAGAGGAGCGAGAAGCTGTACAAACCACATTTTCCAGCTTTTGCATGATCCCTGATGATCCCCGGTGCTTTTCTTCGAAGTCATTTTTCTTTCTCCGAAGTTAATGGAAAACCTCCACAGTTGTGCGTGTTATCTAACCCGACAGTGCTAAGCGTGTTGCTGATAAGAACAAATGATGTTTTGAAGTCATGAAATTTTCGATGATCCATACGTCGAAATTTGAGGTTTACCGAAAAATTCGACTTTTCAAAAACTCATTTGTTCTCATCAGCAACATGCTTAGCACTGTTGTGTTAGATGTTCAGTACAGCTTTGGAAGGTTTTCGTCAACTTCGGAGAAAGAAAAATGACTTTAAAGAAAAGCGCTGGGGATCATCAGGGATCATACAAAAGCTGGAAAATGCGGTTCATAGAGCTTCTCGCTCCTGTTCAACATGTTCATAGTGAAAGGTAGTAGGAATACTTGCGGATAGGTATCGTCGTCTCCCCAGCGTACGTTGGGCGGAGCTTTTGCGGACATTTCAACACGTTAGTGAACTTGTAAAGCCTCTACTGCAAAGCATGGTTCTTTGTTTTATCTAAACTGCCACGTTTATATGCTGTTGTCACACGTGGCAGGGTTGGTAGCGAGAGATCACAAAAAACAATGCCCTGTAGTAGAGGGTTAACAAGTTCACGAACGTGTTGAAATGTCCGCAAAAGCTCCGCCCAACGTATTCCGGGGAGACGACGATACACAACGTGAAATCCAGATATCTGGAGCTTCAGAATATGAAGCTTTCTTTTAAGCTTCATATTCTGAAATCCCCTTCCCAGCGGAGAAGTTAGTGCATGCGGCCCTTAGACTGTTGTCTCCTCACGATATTCAACCGAGCACTTCTCGGAAAATGTCGAAACTGCGAATTATGGCCTTTGCCCAAGCTTATAAATCTTCTAAAATTTTATATGCACCCCGAAAATGTCCAAAACAGATAAATAGAGCAGACCTTATATGATATAAGCAATTTTTCCTTTCTATAGTTTGCTTTTTAGAATTTTTAGAATCATTTCTTTGATGCTTCAAATTCCATTGTCTGACTCAATCCTCATAGGGCATCAGCCGGTGAGCTCGAGTGTCATTCGATGCAGCTCTTTCTTCTCTTTTTGTGTGTTTGTGTTGTCGATTCGTAAAGTCCTGGCGGGTAAAATTTTTGAAAATTTTCAAATTTTCCACAGTTCATGTTTTGAATGCGTCGCTCCATGTGTCACCCGAAAAATACAATATTTGATACTTTGAATCCGCGAACGCTTATTTGTTTTGTGAAATTGATGTTGATCTTTATTATTTTTAGAAGATTCAAATTTTGAAGATGCATTGGTCTTTGATGAGTTCGTGTCCGAAAAAGGTCTGTTAGAATACCGTGATTTTAATGAATATTCAAGAAAATGGCATATGGAAAAAAGAGAAATGTTGTACCGTTTTTTTATCCATCCGTCACTCCTTCGGAAGGTTGATGTGAATTTGAAAAAATTAAAAGACTTGACCATCTCAAGCATGGGTCATAGATTTGGTAGTTTTTTGAGAGCTCAACGTCTGTGTTGCAATGAGTTTATAATCTTCAAAAGAGGATAAAATGCTGTATCGGATGCTCCTAAAATCTCATAATTTTTTTCACGATGTGTAGCGCTCATTTGGAAGAAACTACATAGAAGACTCATGGCAGACATTGACACATTCACGACAAGGCCGATTTTTCGATAACTGCCGTCTCGGACCCTTTTTCGCTCTGTCAAACTTACGACCAACCCGTGGGTCGTATTGTCATGATTGTGTCAATAAGCGCGCTCTTATACCAAAGTAATGGTCATGTATTTTATCTGAACTCATCGTATTGTCAATCAAAAGGTTTGAAATTGCTGCTTTGTGCATATGGTGCATCCCGAAGAATTGTTCCCATACAATACCGCTCACATTTTTTGAAAAATAGGCGCGAATGTATGGACATGTATGGACATGTACGAACATGTCCATACATGTATGGACATGTCCGTACATGTCCGTACATGTCCATACATGTATCATGTCCATACATCAGCGTCGCGTGGCCATATCTCGCCTCAGAGTGGACAAATTCTGAATCCAAAGCCACCATTCGATTCAGCTCCGCGCGGAGAATCTTCTGATATATTGGAAGTGGGGGTACGATGTCTTCGATATTCCGTTTCCCAGTTTTTTCAATTTGTTCTGCGGAGGTCCTTTCGCGAATATGTGAAGCAACGCCTATCCAACATAGAAGACTTTACTGAGCACTATTCGATAATACTGTTCTTGTAGATTTTTGTGCGCTAAAAATAGGCTCAGACTCCTTTCCAAAGGAGATAGAAGCGTTGGTGAATTTTGGAAAAATCACGCGTTTTTAAATTCTACTCGCCATAACTTCCTTCGGAATAAGTATATTTTGAATCCGTAAATTGCGCCTTGCTCAGCTCATCAAGGCGAATCTTTCCATATACAGCATGTCCTTGATGTTTCGATTTCAATATTCTTGAATCTTTCTGAGGACGTCTATTTGCGAAGGTGTAATGCAGCGAGCATTGTCCCGAGTGCATTTCAGCAAGGATCTTTCGATAGCACTTTTTCTGTAGATTATGATGTGCTATATAGTAGCCGCAGGTTTCTTTTCAAAGGAAATAGAACGGCTGGTGAATTGTGGAAAAATCTTATTGTCCCAAATTCTACTCGCCATATCCGCAGGATACGAAGCTATCTTGCCAAGCAGATGTGAGTTTCGAAATTAGCAGGTCGCATAACCTCTACGAGCAAGTTTTCCGATATGTTCGGGTCATTTCATTTTTTCTCGTTTTACGCTCCGGAAGCTCGCCGATGGATTTTGGTCAAAATGTTGATGCTCTTGAATTGTAAGGAAACTTCGCTTATAGAGGTTTTCGAATACGCTCTTTACGAAAATCGTGGTCCTTGAGGATCACAAGGTCTTTTTGGAGAGATACGGTGAGGTGACTGTAACTGCATCACGAAAGTGCGTAACTTTGGCCGCACTTCTCGCGTATCTATCAGAAACCTTGCCTGCTTGCTTTTCTCAGTCAAAGTTACTGAGAACTGTGCTATCGAATGGTGCATGACTCAGGCTCCAGTCTGTGAAATTCGCCGAGTTATGAGCCTACGAAAACACGTCCTCACGAATTTTGCCCAAAATGTAAAGATCGCATATTTCGTCGAAATTCCTCCGTGAGCGCTTGTATGGCGCTCGTTGCAGATATTTTGTTTGCTTCGTCTTCAACGACTCCCACTTTATTAAATATGGTGCTTGCGTGTGCTTCAGCGGCTCGATTGAATATCAAAGCTATTTCGTGGCTAGAGCTCAAAGCACCAAATTTAACACAATAAGATCCATTGAAAATGTCTAAGGATTTGATCAGCGTGTTGCACAAGCGCTCACGGAGGAATTTCGACGAAATATGCGATCTTTACATTTTGGGCAAAATTCGTGAGGACGTGTTTTCGTAGGCTCATAACTCGGCGAATTTCACAGACTGGAGCCTGAGTCATGCACCATTCGATAGCACAGTTCTCAGTAACTTTGACTGAGAAAAGCAAGCAGGCAAGGTTTCTGATAGATACGCGAGAAGTGCGGCCAAAGTTACGCACTTTCGTGATGCAGTTACAGTCACCTCACCGTATCTCTCCAAAAAGACCTTGTGATCCTCAAGGACCACGATTTTCGTAAAGAGCGTATTCGAAAACCTCTATAAGCGAAGTTTCCTTACAATTCAAGAGCATCAACATTTTGACCAAAATCCATCGGCGAGCTTCCGGAGCGTAAAACGAGAAAAAATGAAATGACCCGAACATATCGGAAAACTTGCTCGTAGAGGTTATGCGACCTGCTAATTTCGAAACTCACATCTGCTTGGCAAGATAGCTTCGTATCCTGCGGATATGGCGAGTAGAATTTGGGACAATAAGATTTTTCCACAATTCACCAGCCGTTCTATTTCCTTTGAAAAGAAACCTGCGGCTACTATATAGCACATCATAATCTACAGAAAAAGTGCTATCGAAAGATCCTTGCTGAAATGCACTCGGGACAATGCTCGCTGCATTACACCTTCGCAAATAGACGTCCTCAGAAAGATTCAAGAATATTGAAATCGAAACATCAAGGACATGCTGTATATGGAAAGATTTGCCTTGATGAGCTGAGCAAGGCGCAATTTACGGATTCAAAATATACTTATTCCGAAGGAAGTTATGGCGAGTAGAATTTAAAAACGCGTGATTTTTCCAAAATTCACCAACGCTTCTATCTCCTTTGGAAAGGAGTCTGAGCCTATTTTTAGCGCACAAAAATCTACAAGAACAGTATTATCGAATAGTGCTCAGTAAAGTCTTCTATGTTGGATAGGCGTTGCTTCACATATTCGCGAAAGGACCTCCGCAGAACAAATTGAAAAAACTGGGAAACGGAATATCGAAGACATCGTACCCCCACTTCCAATATATCAGAAGATTCTCCGCGCGGAGCTGAATCGAATGGTGGCTTTGGATTCAGAATTCGTCCACTCTGAAGCGAGATATGGCCACGTGACTCTGATGTATGGACATGTCCATACATGTCCATACATTCGCGTCTATTTTTCAAAAAATGTGAGCGGTAGTGTAGGTACCATCCGTGGCTGCCTTTCAATCGTTTTAACAGGTTGGGTCTAGCACATTTAAGGCGCTTATTCGATCTTAGCATGTTAAAACGATCGAAAGGCAGCAGCCACGTTGACAGTACATACCTATGGCAATGCCAGGGGATGCACGGTATGTCAGCGTTCTACCAACCAAGAAGACTTCTAATTTGAGAGGAAATTTCAAATACTTTGGGAAAGTTTATGTTACTGTAAAAATACTTGTTTTTCTAGTCTTCAATGCTTTCTTGGTTCTAACCAATGATTTCCCGCATGGCCATGTTATTGATAAAAACTTGTTGCAACACCCAAACCTTCCACTTCTTCGGAGAAGACTTGTTGAACACAAACACATGAAGGGTCAATTCTTAAAAAAACAAGGTTCTTGGATTTTTCGATCCTACATAGCCATAAATGTCCTTAAACCCGCTAAACTTTTAAAGGGTACGGTTGATGAGGATTAAGCTAAGTATTCGCTGTGACAAGCGCCTCAACCTTGCCACAATTTAACACGCACATTACATACCCTTAGCCCTTAGCAGGTACTAATATTTGAAACGTATCTGTTAAAAAAATGTAACAACTCCTTCTTTTTTACCTCATTCTATCCCGTGAAATTTCCTTAAACCGTTATACTTTTGAAAACCGATACACTTGACACTCATTTTTCGAAGAATCGCATCTCAAACATTTTGAACTCTCAAACTCCGCAGCAACACCTACAACAATGAAACATTGTTTGATTCTCTGTCTATGCGTAAGAAGCGCTTGCAATGTTGCTAGAGATGATGAAAATTTACGGAAGAAAGGAGAGCGAAGGAGGGAAGGGAAAACAGCAGAGTGCAAAAATGCACAGTAACAAGATTTTTTAAAGCAATTACACATTATGCGGAGCTCGGTATTAGCCAGCTTTGAGGAGAATATGATAATAACTTAAAAACTTCTCTCGAAAATTATCTAGCCTGTTTTTTGCTTTCAGGTGGTTCAAGAGGTGGTTCGCTCCGTTCATTCCTTGGAATAAAAAACCGACTAAGTGAGTTTTATTATTTGGTAAACATAGAGGGCTTGAAAGAGAAAATGGAAAGAGTATGAAGCGAAGAAAATGCGCTAAGCTGGTCTTCTCACACTAGTTGTTTTGCGATCAAGGAAGGTTTGCTTACATACTACTCCGAGCATATGAAAGCGTGACTGTTTTCACTCTTTGTCTATTCCGAAAACGAGCAAAAAAGTGATACGCATGGCAAATTTGACAAAAAGTTGGTTTCAAAAAGAGTGAATCCATCAGTGCCCCTTTTTGTCCTGACACTATTCTGTGAGACTTGTGGATGAAAATATGGATGGACCAAAATAAAGACGCATAAGGTAAACTAGTTGCGCTCAGGATTATGTTAAAATCAGGCAGGGGTATTCATTCAGATATCACTTTTAGCACTACATTTGAGAATTTTGATACGATACGAAGTTAGCAAAGATAGCGTAGCGTCAGTGTTGCACTTCATCGGGCTAAAAGTCAGGGGCACTAGTTACAGCTGAAATAGTTCCTTTGCAAAGCTTAAAAAACACGTGATTGGACTTTTTTTTATTTTAGTGACTATGGAATATCGGAGAAAATTTTTGAAGGCGAATAAACTGTTAACATGCAGTGAAAATTCAAATTTTCAAGCGTTCATCACCAATTTGATCGGCACGGACGAGTGTCATTTCATTAGCTAGAACTCCAGATGGATTCCCTACGGAAATGAAAGGAGAGCAACTGGTGCACGGCTAATGGACGACAAAGCCGATACTGACGCGATGAAACATTCATAGATTGTCAGAAATCATGAAAATAAGGCATGCAAAAAAACAGTCACAGTCTTCTTCAACTCGGAGTAAGCGCAACACTCCAAGAGGAGCAGCGAGTCCGCACCGGTACTGGCTCAGCGAGGTTAATTAGAATGAAGAGACGCAGACTGTAAAGCGGCGCGAATCGTTGCGAAGCGGACTCCAGCCAGTCCAATTTCCGCCTAAACTGACTTGAAACTTATTATACAAATCGGCTGCATATGAAATCAAAGCTAAGGAACTGCTAAAAAGCGGCAAATTGCTTGATGATGATTCAAAGGTAAATATTAGGTAATCCGAATAAACTCAACTTACCAGAATGAAAGCAAATGACTGACGAAAAATTAGCAGAGAGTAACCGTGCGTTTTGCTGGCGCGCTCATAGGCTGCACGTCAGGGGGTACGCCGCGCGCGGCGGCCGCTCTTCCGCACACGCCGCGTTCAAATCTTGGGGCCTCCAAGACTCTACGCCAATAGAGATTCCCGACATCAAAAACAGGGGGGTGAGAATGGGGGCAGATACATGATTTAACGCTATAAGTAAATCGCTTCAGGAGCGCTGCTGTTGTAAGGGTTGAATTACGTTGCGGCGTCGCTTCGCGAAAAATTCGCGCCGATCATACCTCCTGACCGTCCCCCCGCTCGTCAGCTGCAGATATTCAATGTTTCCGCGTTTCAACTCTTTCCGTGTATCTACGGACCGGAGAATGTCACTACCATCCCGAACGTAACATCGGTCCTCAGATAGCCGTGAGGGCGGATTAGTGCAGGCGTATCAACGGTGCGATTGTACAGCGTTGAGGTATATTTGATGAATGGATTGTCGGTTGACCATGGTGGCCGTAGGGTTGAGCAGACTGTTGATGATACTCGACCGTTAGTCATGTGCCTAGCTTCCCTGACTGCCTAACCACCAAATAGTCTTTCCACCAACTAGAAACGGTCTAATTGGTCTGCATATTCTTTAGCACCTTTCAACGTAATGTAGCGAATGCGAGACTTTTGAGGCAAAGTGTGGAAAAGCGAGCTAGAACTGGGATAAGATAAATCAATTTGGTATGACCATTTTTGACCGCTTTCGTAGTGTGTTCACTGCTTTGCTCACATCTCATTTCTTTTAACGCGATTTGGCAATTACTTCAATTGCCCATAACTCATCCTGCGCGCATTCTGAATGTGGAGAGTGTAGGGCGTATTTCATCAATCTGCATCTTATCAAAGTTGTACAGACTATTTGCGGTCTACCAGCGTTTTGTAGACATTTCGACTTGACAGACCACGTGGGTCCTGAAATCGCGTGAAGTATGGATGACTTAAAGGCAGTGTCCGGGCAAAAACTCGATTTTGAGATTTTGTGCTTATACGGGCCTATTCGCCATGCTGAATCCGAAAATCCACATTGGAATGCGCGAAAACGGCGAAAAAGGGCTCTAACACTGGAGGGAAATCAGCAAGTTCTTCCCCACTGCGAATTCGCGCTCCCAGCTCCCGGAGCGATTTTCTCGATTCCGCTAGCAGTCCTAACATCGCTACCGGTCAAATGCGAATGATTGACTTGAAACCGAAATCGAGAAGGTCGCTCCGGAAGCCGGGAACGTGAATTCGCAGTGGGGAGGACCCCGCCCACCTGCTCATTTCCCTCTTGTGTTAGAGCCGTTTTCCGCCATTTTCGCGCTCTACAATGTGCATTTTCGGATTCAGCATGGCGAATAGGCCCAAGTAAGCACAAAATCTCAAAATCGAGTTTTTGCCCGGACACTGCCTTTAAGAGTGGCTTCGATATCGAAGGTGAGTGTTTTGAAAAGCGTGTCGAGATTTCGTGTCGAATTGTCTGGCATTCACTGATTCAAGTAGTTTATGCCGCTTTTCAAGACGAATGCGGAGTCATGACATTAGATGCAATGGCCCTCAAAAAGGCATCCATCTCGTTCACATCCGTCAGTTAATCTCAATAATCTCCTTTCCAAATTTGAACGTAGGCGCGTATCGCAAGTTGTGAACTTCATGATTCTAATAGGGCTCCAGGGTACCATTCGATAGAGCAAAGCAAGCTCTACAAGATAGTATGCAGTTCGCATCGGCTCCGACCCACCGTAAGTTTGCATCCGGGATATGAGTCGCACTAAGGCTCAGAAAATCGCGAGAATTCATATCTTGGATAAAATCCTCCTCATCTCCAACTCGTTCACAAAAATTGTACACTAGAACAGACACTCATAATTACCGTTCCTGTATTTTTTTTCTCATTTAGAAATCGAGAAAAGGAAAATTTTTTAGTTTTTACAAAAACGGAGCTATGCTGTTTCTAATCACGTAGCTGTATACTACAAGCTCTTAGAAATATAACCGTAAATTTTCAGCTTTCCAGAACCCCTAATTTACGAAAAATACCAAACTTAGCTTTTTTCGCTCGGGTGTTCAATGCTGTATTGGGTGATTTTCGAAAATTACGGCTCTTGGGAAGCTGAAAATTTACGGTTATATTAGGTTGGTGCAAAAGTAATGGCCGATTTGCGAATTCTTAATTTGACGTGCTACAGCTTTTGGAAGAATTCACATTTCCGAATGCGGTAAAAATTATCAGAAGCAGCAAACCTTCTGCAATGCAGCGCACATTTATTTATACTCATATCACGAACGGGCAGAAAAATATGGATTGCAAAATAAAAGAGGTTCTTCTGCTAGACCTTGTCTTTGACAATTCATATCTTCCTTCAAAGTTTTTTAGTATAAATGTTAAGTAGTCTATCTAGTAGCCGCAAGCCAGTAGTACAAAAAGCAATAAAAAGAATTCGGACAGAAAAGTTTGCGAAAAAGAAAAAAAATTGAAATTTGAAATTTCTCACTTTTTTGAACATTTCTTCAGTGTGCCTCAAAGTCCCGAATATAGAATTTTTTGATTTTCTAGGTACTGAACAGCTGGATGTTTTTGCAAAAACTGCTAACAGGATGCCCTAGCCCTACGCTTACAGAATTGAGCAAAGCTCCGGCGAGTGACTTCTTCAGAAGAAAATTATGGGCCATAAAATGACCGCAACAACTACCCATGTTTAGGCGCCGATATCTCAGTCTGGATAGCCTCAAAGAACACAATCAAGTATGCATAATGTAGACAATTTCTATTACATACAGTAGCTAAATTTTCGAAGAAATCCCATTAATACGCGCTCAAATTCTGGCCGGAAAAGTGAAAGCAATGAAATTCTGAATTTGGATGTGGTTATTTGAAGCTCAGTAACTTTATAACAGATGAGGATGAGAGCACGTTTCAAGCACCTTTAGATAGAGCATGGAAACAGCTTCGCGATGGTTTACTACATCCATTGTAAAGAAGAAATATTGATGGAAAAAAGGTGCCTTGAAAAAAGGTTTGGAAAATCGGCCATTACATTTGCACCAACCTAATACTTCTAAGAGCTTGTAGCATACAGCTACATGGATAGAAACAGCATAGCTTCGTTTTTGTAAAAACAAGAAAATTTTCGTTTTCTTGGTTTCTAAATGAGGAAAAAAATACAGCAACGGTGCATATGAGTGTTTGATATAATGGGCAATTTTTATGAGCAAGTTGGAGATGCGGAGGGACAAAAATTTCGAACAAAAATATAAATTTTTCGCGAATTTTTGAGCCTTCAGTGCGAATTATATTCCGGATGCAAACTTACGGTAGGTCGGAGCTGGTGCGAATTTTTGCGTACAGTTTTGTGAAGCTTGTTCTACTCTATCGAATGCTTCCGACGTTACAAATGCCTTTATTCAGAGTTTTACTTACGTATCTTGTTTGATAAGAGTATGGTCCCCGTCATATCCAAATTTCCAATTACTGCTTAACATTTTCTGTCTCATCAGTGAAGTTTTCAATACTTCTAAAGATCGTATTTTGATGCGTAAACTTGAAGCGCGGTCTTCTTCCTCGTGAGTGATTGACTCGCGACGTGGGTACTTGTAATACACTTGTAATAGCGCAGATTTTCACCTAATTTCTGGAAAAAGAAATTGTCTTTGCACTGTTGTATCTTTCTTGGATGATCGAACTAAGCATTTGATTGTTGGGAATAAACTTGTGAAGTTTTATGCCATCGTGGCGAAAAATTCTTGCGTTTCAAAGAACTATTGAATTTCTATGAACTTAATGGGGACGGATGTTGCAGACAGGTTTTCGATGTAATAAAATAACATTGAGGATGACTTTGCACCAGAATTGCTACTAAGGGCCGCATGCATTTATATTCCTCCGGGAAGGACACCGCATCTTAAAAGAAAGTTTCATATCCTGAAACTCAGATATCTGGATATTACGCTGTCTACCTATCCGTAACCCTACTACCCTTCACCATAAACATATCGAGCAAGAGCGAGAAGCTGTACAAGCCGCATTTCCCAGCTTTTTGTATTATCGCCTGATGATCTCTCCAACGGCTAATTGTCTTCCCTTCAAAGTCATTTTTCTTTCTTTGAAGTTAACGAATTTCAAAGTTGTACTGATAACTAATCCAAAAGTGCTGAGTTGATAAGGACAAATGAATCATTGAAATATCGAATTTTTCGATAAACTCCAAAACCTCTGTGATTATATGAAGGGATAAAATTAAGGCCAACCTAGAAGAGCTTGCGTCGAAGGAACAACAAGCAACAGACAAAGAATTATGGTAAAGACTCAAGGTGGCAGACCAACATATATGATAAATGCAAAGATAATAAAAAAAATGAACTGCTGAGCTATCATCAAGCGCGGATCCTGGTTCGCTGAGCTCCGAACAAACGGACGTACAGGAAGGCAATTATCAATCTGGAAGCTTATGTACCTAATCTTATTGCAATATTCTTTACGAACCGTGATAAATAGCAGACTTCCGCGGAAGTGATAAAATTCGGCGAGATTATCCGAGATCAAGTGGCATTCGCGACAACGCGGCATGCGCGAATCACGCTTCATTCCGAAAATTCCGCGAGTTTGCGAAAAATCGCCACAGCTTCCTTCAGGATGCAGGATTCTGATTTTGAAAGGAGCATCGTGCTAACTTTTACGAATTTTTGGTATACTTCATTGCCGTGTTTTCTGGGGTATGGTAGAGGTACGGCACAAAGTAAATTTTCTTGTAGTCTGCCTACATATTTTAGAAGAGTTATTGTTTGTTCACGTTTCTTTGTCAGCGCACTCTGTGCGGACAAAATAGGGCATGTTCAAATCAGGTTGCGATAGTCATGTGCCTATGCACTCGAAACCGCCGCACTGAATTTATGGACATCTGGCAGAATGCGAAATTATGACGAAAGCGTTTTGACTAAATCGTTATACTTATGACCGATGCCTGACTTTCGTACCAAAATTCTGAGTTAAACATTTTTTTGTGTTTAGCTATCCCAAGCGAGAGCACCAAGCAGTCAAGAATGACTTTGATTACTCGCAAATCATTGAGAAAAAATATTGATAACTTACTATACGCTTCCGAAGAAAAAAATCCTAAATCTGTTTATTCTCAGGATCACTGACCTCGGACCAGGATATTTCAGTAAAAAAAAATAATCAAATACTGCGTGCATTTGGACAAAACTTCAATGCTGAGTGTTTTGTTTTTGGCCGGAAAGCACTCAATAAACAATGTTTGCCTTGTTAGTTTTGTATCTAGCAACTGTTCAGTGCTATGGAGTGTGATTACAAAAAGATATGTCACCATCAACACTAATTACCGTATCCACAAGTTAAGCAAGTATCAGATCTAACTAATTCCTGCTCTCCTCAATATCCGACAATTATTAGCTTTGATTCAATGACAAGTGGCAGTTGAAGGCGGTTGTCCGCTCAGATTAAACCATTGACGGCCGGCCTACATCACGCGATTTTCGTCTGACTTCTAGTCATTGCGATTGTCTTGCTGGGAATATCGCGAGGCGATGAGTGCGCGTGATGTATGCCCACTTTGAGGACTAGCGTATGCCTACATTCTGGCTTCACTTTGATAACAGTACTCGTGTACGTATGAAGGCTATTCATGTTGAACTTCATGGAATTGTTACACTGTTTGATAATTTTATTTTTATATAAAACTTCGGAAATGAAAACTGACATCACAGAGTGCGTCAAAAGTATATTTCTTGAGCAGAAATAGCCTTAATGGCGTGAATGCACGCCTCCGGCCCTCTAATGATTGCACTTGTCCACCACGCGCAAACAAAGGCGTAAGGCCTCGGACAGAGTTCACGCGATTTGATCGTCGCGATTCAATCGCTACAGACAAGTGTTACGAGTTCATCGCATGTCGATCTTCTTGCATTTCATTGTGATAGTTTTCCAACACGACTAATTGTGACTACCTATCACAACCGAAATACGAGAAGATCGGCATGCAATGAATTCGTAACACTTGTCTGTAGCGATTGAATCGCGATGATCAAATCGCGTGAACTCTGTCCAAGGCCTAAAGAAATTTTGAAAACTTAGTCCTGAACTTAGTCACTGCTGACCCTTTGAAAATTCATAATCCACTTCCAGATAAAGCGACCACAGACGCGCACATAACGCCCTGTTTTTTGCATTATTTTTCAAAGAGCAGAGTAAGCAAATACATCCGATAGTACTGCAAAACCTACCTGTTAAGCACAATCAATTCTAAGTTTCAAATTTAATTGATTTATTAGTGTTTTACGCGTTTTCTTCATTCATTCATTTATTTCGATCAACTTTCAAGCAAGCAATATCTTTTCTGAACCGAAATAGACTGAGCAGAAAAAACCATCCAAACATGAAATAAAACGAATCCAACAGTGGATGTAAGCGTAACAAACCGAGACAGAGTAACAGATAACTTGTACGATGACAAGAACATCTCACATTTTTTACGATGAAATCATCAGATTACGCGATCTCAGATATTCTATGAGATGACGGCAGAAAGCAGTAGATGATGAGTACCTGAACAGTTGAGGATCTACCTGAACAGTTGAGGATCTAAGGCATTCCAGAGCATCTGCACACGACAAATGAAGCATTGCTTATACGATGCAAGATCAGGTTTTTCAGTGCGAATTTTGAAACTATGACCCCTCGTGTAGTTTGCACAATATGTTTGCTCGAAAATATCGTACAAATCAAGATCAAGCTTATTTGTTGTAAACTTGTACATGAAGGTAAAGTCGGCAAGAAATCTTCTATCTTCCAAAGTGAGTGCTTGAAGTTTCTTTAACCTGGCAAGAAATGATAGCCCAAACATGCCCTTCCGAGCAAATATCCTATATGTAAATGATTTTTAAACTTTTCTATTTCTTCTATAAGGGCCCTGCATTGGGGTGACCAAAGTGGTGAACAATATCTAAAAAGTGGTCTAACGTACATAGAAAATAGTCGGAACAAAAGCAGAGGATCTCGGCTTTTGAAGATTTAAGGAGGTAATTAGACACCTTGCCTTTGCTGTGATCTCTAATATGTAGTCACGGAAATCAAATGTGCTTGAATATCGAACGCCTAAGTCCCGAATTATTTGAACGCGGTGCAGAGCAGAACCGTCAAGTGTGAATTTACATGTGGGGCGTGTTCTTCCGAAGCCCATAATAGAGGTCTTTTCTTTTAAAATTTTAAGTCCCCAGGCTGCAGACCAAGCGGCAAGAGAATTTATGGCGTTTTGCAGCAGGGGGCATCATTGATAGTATATATCTTAGAGTCGTCGGCATATATCGAACAAACTGTACCTGCAGGAAGCGCATCCGGGGAATCATTTATATAGATTAAGAGTAAGAGAGGGCCAAGAACAGATCCTTGAGGTACACTGCTAGTTGTAGCATATACACGTGAACGAACGTTGGTGATGACTACAGACTGTCGCCGACCATTTAGGAAAGATGATAAAAAATTGTAAAGTGACCCCTTTATGCCATAGGGTTCAAGCTTGAAAAGCAGCAAGGTTATGTTGATTGAATCAAAAGCTTTACTGTAATCAACGAAACAGACCGAAACATATTTGCCTCTGTCCACTTCTCTATGCCACAAAGGGACCGTGGACATAAGAGCAGATGCGGTAGATTTTTTGCTAAGGAAGCCATTTTGCACCGTAGACAAAAGGTTGTTTTGAGAAAGGTATCCAAAAATACCCTGGCAAACCAATCTTTCCATCACTTTACATGTGGAACATATGAGGCAGATAGGACGATAATTGTTAACACTTGCTCTAAGTCCCTTTTTGTAGATAGGTTTGACTAGACCAAACTTCCAAATTTCAGAAACTTCCCCTTTCAATAAAAATCTGTTGAACATTATTGCAAGGGGAGAAGCAGGTCCTGAAGCGGCATTTTTCAAAAATATGTATGGAATGCCATCAGGGGACGTTGAATTTTTTTTGGAAGCTGATGAAGTGCTAGAGTCACAGTCTGTTGTAATTACAATCCAGTCAAGCTTGTTATGTGTTCTACTCCATAAAGGCACTAGTAGGAGTAGGAGTATGACAAAGGTAAACATTTTCAAGATAGTCAGCGAACAAATCGGCTTTTTGCTGGTCACTTCTGTAGATACTCTCGTTTTCTTTTAGATCAGGTATGCAATCGGTCAGTTTAAGTTTTCTTTTGCAGTATCTATAGAATTCCTTACTGCTTTTTGAGCGAATCACCTTGCTCTCGCATGCGAGTTTCCATCGCGAAATTTCTCGCTTCAATTTTCTGGCTAAAGAAGTGTACCTATGTGAACCTAGGAAGAACCGATGTCGGTAAAAATGTGCTGCTTTTGCTCTTAATTTGTGTATTTTTCTAGGCACTAGTTCAGCGTAACGATATTTTCTTCTTGATGGGAAATTTTTTTTATAAGGCTAATTTGGATTTTTAAAAAATTTTAAAAATTATTTTAATTGTTTACAAAAATAAACAAGTCATTTGCACATTTTTATAACGCATGTAAGTAATTTTCAGAAATTTCGCGACCCGTTCTCGGGGGGGGGGGGGAGGCGCCCCCCCCCCTCGGTACGCCACTGCTCTCTGCATATTGGGACCTTTTCATAGAGTTGTGGTGGTTATATGGCATGAGGTCGAAAACATAGATTTGCTTTAAACTTTGTCTAGGGTGGTAATTTAGCGCGCTGAACATGAATATCATGCTGATTTCGCAGGATAGTGCATTTTCTTGGGTTACGGTGAGTGTAGATGGGTCGAAGTTCCAGATTTGCTCAAAACCTACCTGTAACTGTTCACAAGTATACTGCTTATGAATGTGAAACTTGCTCGCTATCATAACGCATTAGTGAAGTTATGGTAATTGCAGGATTTGAATGGACAGGGCCAATTTAGATCCCAGATATTCATGAAATGGGGAAACGGTCGTTTTGCATGGCGGTCTCCAGCGCCATCCTGATAACCTGTCCCAATGTGTAACGCTCGCGGCAAATCTCCCTCCCCCTATTTCTGCTTAGGCAAAAGCCGCCGAAGGGTGTATCGCACGCGGCAAATCTCCCTCCCCCTACTTCTGCTTAGGCAAAAGCCTTCAAAGGGTGTATCGCGCGCGGCAGTGGTCCTGTAAGGAAAGCATTACGGTCGTGGGGAACTTTTACACCACACGAATTGCCTTTATCGCGGGGATTAAGCACGATATTCTTTGAACAGCACTTTAGGTAATTCCCTGCCAAGGTTTTAGGCAGGTTTATGATTTTTACCCGCTGCCACGCGTTGACCATGATATTGTCATCAGCGGCTCAAATAACCCCCATATACTGAGTTTGAGCAAGATCCGTCACAAAAACATTTTGGGGCCCGGATAGCCGAATAGCGCCATCAGTTTTTAGAATTATCTTTACTTTTATCGATTTTATTGTTTTTTTGTGCAAAGTTTGAGCTACGGGGCTGGGGGGTTGGTGAGGAATGTAGGTGAGCATACTGATTATTCACGCAGCGGGAATAGGGAATATAGAAGTGGGCACAGGTAAAAGTGTACAGGGATAGAAATGGAACCTTTATCGGTTTTGACAGGGCCGGGCGGAGCCGGGTAAGCCAGCTAGTCCCCTCTATTACTAAGGGCGGCATCATGAATGAGATGCGGTTTACACCACGTCTCAGTTATAAAAACACCAAGGCGCCGATTAGCAAGAAAAAATTCAAGTTCAGATATTTTGTTACAAATGGAACGCGAGTTGAACAGAAAAAAGCTTGAATTAGGATGTAAAAAAGTTTTCTGTACCCTCAAGGTACTCACCACTGCATCCTAGCGACTATCGATCCGTTGGCCATCTGACAGTGAAGGACGAGGGCTGTAAGCATTGTTGTCCTCCATATTTCTTTGACTAGGACCGCCGTTGAAAGGATTATCAGTTGGGAAATCGTGTGGTGTCTTCAGTTTATGAATACGTAGATCCCTCACGACATATGCAAGTCTTCCTTCCTGTCGATTGAGTTGCCCAGCCTTCTTTCTAAGATTTCGATCGATTTCCAGTTCTTCCTGCGTGTAATCTTTTCGGGCATACGAGTGAACAAATCTTTTAATGAGAGAAAGTCTGGCTCTCCTCATATGGTCTAGCAAGTTATCCCTAACTTGCGGGCTACTGGTGGTTATCTTGATTATCCTGGGTCTCATGCTCTTCTTCGGGCGTATTTCGGGGTATCGTCGAACATCAATCTTCTTGTTGTTCCATTCACGGAGTAATTCCTTGTCCCCAGAAGCTTCAATAACCTCCTTGATCGCTTCACGATCGAAAGCCTGGGTCGCGTGATCTGATTCCTTTTCGTCAATGCCCACCCAAGTGATCCTGCGGGCTTTCTCATTCACGACCCTGCTATCCGTTTAAAACTTTACTAGGGCGTACGCGGCATCATTGAAAGTCCCTTCGCCTAATGCAGAAACGCGAGCATTCAAATCCCGTAAGGAATTACAAAGAACTTGTTGAGTTTCTTGCATTTTCAAAACAAGTTCGAAGATCCTATCAAACCTCGTGAAATAATCGTCCCATCGTTGCAGGATTTCCTTCAGCCAAGCAGGTGGGGAGGCAGACGCGGGCTCGTCGTTCTTGCTTCTCCTGGCGGGCATTGCTCGGGAAAAACTGGGGTGACGACTGGCAGCAGGCGGGGGTGGTCAAGACGATCAAGAGGAATCGGCAGCCTTGGCAGACGTGAAATTGCCGATAAGGACAGGACCGGGCCAATTAGTGACACAGGAGTCGAGCAGATTTAGGGGTCCGAAGAGGAGAGTCCGACGGGGGCAGGGAAGTTCGACGGAGGCACAGGAATTTGCTGGAGGCGAGAAGGATGGCTGTGGAGACGGGCAGAAGGTGTGGACGAGAGGAGCTCAGGATGGAAAGATCAGGCGGCAATGGAAAGATCAGGCGGCAATGGAAAGATCAGGCGGCAATGGAAAGATCAGGCGGCAATGGAAAGCTTAGGCGGCAATGGAAAGATCAGGCGGCAATGGAAAGATCAGGCGGCAATGAACATTGATAACTATTGATAACTGCAACTATTGATACAATTGTGTCTGAGATAGACCTGTCTAAATTTGCTGGTTTTGTTGAAATTCTATCAAATAATCATAATGGGAAGAACGAAAAATCGCTTCTATGATGTCGGTTGGAGGACGAGTGGCATGCGTATGAGGCGCCGCTTTGATCAGATCAGACCCAGTTTCGATCCTCACTCCTGGGCCAACCAAGCCCTTTACCCTCCCGGGGACATTAAATTGGCACCAGAGTAATCTGGGAAAAAGCACTGACTTGATAGTCGGCTAGCCCCCGCAAGTTACTGTAATAGGCCCGCACGCATACTCTTCGATTATGAAGTAGTGTGCGTTTGGCGCATGTCCGCAGAGGGTACTGAAGACATCGAATCCTTCATTTTTCTTATTTATCCTGTTAGTTGCCCTATCCATCCGTTATTGAACGCTTTTATTCAAAGCTAAGTTTCGAAAGCTCCGTATTTGAGGTAGTCGACAGACAACTATTGATACAATTGTTTCTGCATCTAGTCGCGAATGAAGATTTCGCAGCAATTGCCTGTGGTAATTCCGTGATGGAAGGGCGCATGTGCTTATTCCAATTTTGCTATGAAACGTTAAAGGAATCTCGGTATCGCCTGTGCTGCAGACCATGATTAGAGTACGCAGAAAAGTTGCACCCGCGACTGCCTATGCAGTGTTATGCTTTAGTGTTGACTTGTCGTAGTAAAGCAAATGTTACAAATGTTCGCAAAAAATTGTCAACACGACAATAAAAGAGCTTGGCAAAGTATACCGGTTTCCTGGTTACTCCGGGTGTCAGCATCTATACGGTGGACGCGGTTGCGATTGTTTTGTCCTGCTATCAGCTTGTTCGTTCTACCGGGTCATACAGATCCCAAGAAATTTTGAATTAGTATCGTATCATGCCTGAAGTGGGAACCGTTGGTGCAATAAAAAGTCCGAGTGTCACTTCACAACCAAGAAAAGGAAACCTTAGTGCACCCTGCATCAGGCACGCATTTCAAGGAATAGTAGCCTCAGTTCTCGGCGCAATCGCCGCACTTTTCCATGCAAGACAGAAGAATTGCGATATTAAACAAACAAGCTTTGCTTTTACCAGAAGGGTCTTAGCAGCTAAATGCGCGCCTTACCAATCAGCAACAAAAGATTCTAGAAACTTCGCCAACCAAATGATATGCTTGTGTGAAGACGCGGAGCAATCAAATGTCACTGCCATCAAATGTCTATAAGAGACGTGAAGAATGACATTACAAGTTTTTTTTCCCAATACTCCTTTCATCTCCTTCCAAAAACGAAAGAAGGAGCTCTTCGTGAAATCTAAGAAAAAGTAGTCGTGTCAGTCCCGTTCGCTGGAGAACAGTGCAGAATATTTGCTTGAACAAGATTGCCAACTAGAAGCAGCGTGAGGGGACACTACGACTGTCATGAGGGAACTCAGGTGAACGTTATTTGCACAACTAGTGACAGAGCATCCAGTGCGGGAACACACATTCACTGTAAAATGCGATTCGCAAGGAAAAGGAACTGCGCTAGCAATAGAATTTCAAGTGCAACTGTGAAAAAAACATGCGCTACGCAATATAACAACAAGACCATCAAATTTGACCTCACAGGTACACTCAACTGTGCACCAGACATTGTGAAACACATATTGTTCGAAAATCCAGCTCAACTAAGGAATTCTCAGAAAGACTGGTTGAATAAAAAGTTCCAAGCGTTCTATCAATCTGGAATACTCTCCGTAGACCTTGGAAAGTCACTACAGCCGTGTTGGGTTTAATAACGGTCCTTTCGGTGACAACATACTTATTTGGACCAGCATTTGTCCTAGCACTTGGTAGAGTACTCACATCTGCGCGGTAATTAACGTTTAAGCAACTGCGTTGTTTATTCAGACTGCAAACAGATGTATCAAAGCCGCCACGCACAGAAAGAGTCGTACTGATACGCTATTATCATCAACATTGTATTCAATACGCATATCCTATAACATAAGCAATCTCATACGGTATATGTGGAACCAAGAAACAATTTGATAAACGATAGTTATTCGATTACTTCACGTCAGCCCGAGCACTGCACTACTGTCATGTCAGTGGACGAGATCGACGTCGCTTTACATATCGAGCCTTTGGCAGATGCCATCAAAGACATCAAGGAGAGGATGAAAAAATGGACTGTCGACAGTAAACGCCAAAACGATAGCATCATGCAAGTAGTCCAAGCGACGAGCGAGAGGTGGACGGTAATTCACCATCAACTGTCCATCATGGTGGAACGGACCACCCCGCGTCAAACTGCATGTTCTGCATCGTGGAGGATAGTAAACTCGACGTTCCACCGGACTTTGCTGAAAACATCCCGATGCCATGTCGCGGGCTGTGCAGGCGGCAGGCTTGAGGCTCTACGAAAAATGCTTCCAGCCGCGGCATCATGAAGACCTGGAGTAACCTGCCCTATTGTGGCAGGCTCCACAGCGTTCTACTATGCCCAGCGAGGGACAGAATGGGCCGTTTAAACGGCGAAGGTTGGTTTAGATCTTAGAGCCTAATTAACGGCTACTACTCAAAATCAGATTTCGTATTTACAGATGTAAGATCCAACCCCAAATCCTGAACCTCGCCACGCGACACCTCAAGTTTCGGTGAATACTTTCATATGTGTTGAAGATTTGGTTCATCAAAGATTTGTTACAAAGCTAAAAGAATCAACAAACATTTAAAAAGTACGACATATGAATTGATGCCATTCACGACATCTACATGATTTGGGCATAACCGCTTATATCAAATCCATATCCCGCAGCGCCCTTTTCAACCCGTCATATAAGGTTCTCGATACCTTTCGCTCGCTATGCCCAGTCAGTTCCTCGAATTTCTAGAATGAAAATACTTGTTAAATTGTCTAAAATAATGTGGAACAAAAAAGCCCTACCTTTTCGGCCTCATTTACTTTCCTACAGAGAAAACCGATCTCCAATAATCCTGTAATTGTGAAAACTAAGAATTATTTCACAATACAGCCATTAAAATCTTCAAAATAGTAAAGAAAATCGAAGTTCAACATATTTGTAGCTACTCAATTTTCTCTGGTGGTCAACCTCGTTTAAGGCAGGCATTTCTTTTCAAATCCCGAAAAACAACGGAAGAAGGAACCAAACAAGAGGAAAAAGTAGGCAACAATCTCAAAAAATAGAAGGAAATAGGCAAATGGATTAAACGGACGGCTTAAGCGCACTTTTATACCGCCAGGGTGACATCTTCTTACGAAAAACAGGCGCGCGCAAAGCATATCATTACAAAAATGATGAATCAGTCAATCAAATTCCTGTCACACGATACGCGTCTGCTCTGGCGCATCAGTTCGCGAATGGTATCAGGTATCACTACATCATACCATTGCCCCCAGAGGGGGGGGGGGAGGGGTAATTTGTTATTAAGATAGTAAATTATTTTATCTAGATCCTTTCCAGTTCGTCAAGTCTTCAACTCAAAGTCAAGCCGAGTTCCACCAACGCCTGACTACGTATCCTCCATTTCTCCATCGTCTCAACATCGCATCCAGTCTTCGGCCGCTCGACGAGCTTTTTTTCTTTTTCGCCTCCTCTGGTCGATGTCCTGTCAGTGCTACATTTGTCGTGTGCCGAAGATGCCAGCTTATTCTCTTGTTGAATAAAACCATCGAATTCCTCTAGTGTTGACAGGGGCGCGAAAGGGCGACAAGAATACCCACTGAACCACCACACAGCTTGTGAAAAAATTAGCCTTGAGTCAATCGCAAGTGCTTGCTTGACTGTACTGTTATAAGTCTAAGGTTTGTGTACGTCGGTTCCACGATTAAGATAAATGAAATGCACACCCTTCTGTACACTCCTCTGCAAAGTGCTTCTGAAATTTATACCATATAGTTATTTATTTACACAAGACACACATGGTACTCCAGAAGTGTAAACATCGAAAGTGACGTGGCAATCTAGGCCGATGTGCTCCTCGTTCTTCAGAAAGGGACCTTTGCCGAGTTCATGTCCCCATGCCCCAACGCAACATCATAAGTCACAAATACCAGGATTTGATTGACCAACTTAACTGGACAAAACCGTCAGGGACCCTAGCCGAGAGGAGAGGGGATCGAATTTAGCTGGTCCGGAACAGATTGCATCACGCACGGCAATAGTGCGTACAATAGGGAGGCTGAAGGATTGCTTGAGAAGTTGCGCTCTTTCGATCCACAATGTTAGCATTTGCGACTATTTATCGGTGAAACATCTCAACACACTTTTTGTGTGTACACCCTTTGATTCAACGAGATTGGCAGCTGGATGGCGGGGCTTAATCAAGGCCAGAGAATGATCAGAAAGCACTCTCCGAGAGAGACGCAGAGCGTCGTGGGCGCGAGCGGTCGTTTTCCAGCAGGTATCTCGTTGAATCAAAAAGTAAACAGACATCTAGCCAGGAAAAAGACAGACGTCGTGAGTCCGCTGGGGAACATAGAAGGGTACCAAAAAGAGGTGGATCTCAAAGTAAAGCGTGATGTACTGGCAACTTCTTAGAACATCTCACCCAAAGAATCCTTGATGATTTATAAGAGAGGTAATTTCAATGGCCGTGTGGCCTTTTGATGTGAGATGCATATCGTCTGAAGCAGCTCCGAACGCTGATTTCAAATCTGCTTTCTGTTTCTGCGGAACGCCCTTCTGAAGGTTATGGAAGCCTGAAAATCCTATTTTGGGAACGCTTTTGAGTTTGAGAGAGGTGCTACGTATTTCGGTGGTGCAGTGATGTAATGGTTAGTTGTTGGCATTGAAGGCGAAAGGTCGATGGTTCGAATCCGGTGCAGAGCGAGCCATTTTGCACTTTGAATGTGAGTTCAAAAGCCACTCTAATTCGTCTGCAGTCACTTACTATAATTTGGAAAAATTTTTGATCATTCTGTGGTTCTAATTGACTCAGCTATCCAGAGCGTGTTCAAAACATTCGAATTGCTCTTTGTTGTCAACTGCCGTCGATTGTTGTAGCCAGCTGACGACTCAGCTGAGTAGTAAAATACTTAAGTTGGTAAGTTAGATATAAGTTGGTATTAGCTTATATGCTAAACTAAGGCCACGGCAGATAAGCCAAAGCATAGCGCGATTAATAAATTTGTTTGAAAGAGCCTCTGATAAAATCGCTTGTGGCGAAACACAAAGCGCAAGTGAAGCGTCAGGAATGTTGGAACACAAAAACTATATAGTGAACATGTCAAGGTTCGAACAAGGAAGAACCTTTGACTCTATCTTGTTCTCAAAATCGGTGTCCAGGCACTGTCCTTGCTACCGTATCTGGCGCACTAGTAGCAGCGGCTTGCATAGTTTTACAAGGCCCATCTCTTGCAAGCCGATACAAGTCCACCAGATACGATAGCAAATATTTGGATTTCACATCATTTTCACAAACGCATTAATTTGAAGATGACCAAATCAAATGAACAAATTAATGAATGCTTTAACAGATTGTAAGTCAATAAAATGTTTTGACAGAATGAGTAATAAATCAATTCTAATTTTTTTCTGCACTATCAGACTTGTAGCAAGAAAAATTTTAAAAATTTTTAGTTACACATCCAAAAATTCGTTTTACTAAAAATTCAGCATTATTGTCAGGTATTTTTTTAAAGGCAAATAACAAACGAGTTATATAAAGTGATTTTTGAGCAAAGCTGAGGTGTCCGTTAGCCATGACATAGCACAATTCAAGGCTCTCCTTCGTTAATTCTTGTTCTGATTTTGATTGCGTGGTTTCAAAGCTCTTTCCAGAACAGAAGAATTTTGAAAATGTCTTATTGTGACAATCGAAATGCTACAGTAAGGACTACTTTACATTTCTGTGTAACACCGATTTGCAATAATGCTAAAACACATGGTCAGCTGAGTTTCCTCGCAATTCTTACTCCACTTTGGTAAAGAAGGAAACCAACTCCTCCCCAGAGAGCTGCCCGAAAGGCAAGTTTAGCAATCTGCAATTGGAGAATGATTACAGTCTGATAAGGTGAAAAAACAGGTAGTGTTCAATCTATCTTCGAGATCTGTGCTAAGTAAATGAACGCAGACTTCAAGAAACTACAATACAATAATGTGCAAACTGAGGGATGTTCACCAGCACGAATGTGGCCTGAGATTTTACTTCAATACAAGGGACCATAGCGATGCTGACTGCGGTTTAATTCGAAAAAAGCCCTCCAAGTGCCTATGACCCTTACTTCCGCGCAATTTACAAGTGGCACAGAACACTGTCTGAACGAAGTTTACATTGGTCTTCTACAATGTTTTTGCCCAAGAGGCAAAAATGGGCCTGCAACACAGCACTCAAAGCCACCCAAGTGCAAACACTTTTACTCATTTGGCACTTCATGTTTGAGATTAAGGCTTGAAAGAACCGGAGTTATTGAAAAGCAAATTATCCTTATTAGTCAAAGAATATTGACTGAGTACACCACGAGATAAAAGTTACTTCTAAGCGAAAAGCTATACTATTTTTTGAGATCTGATCAGAATAACTAGAAGTCCTACCTACATGTTCACATTAGGTTGTTTCATGGCCCTGCCGCTTTTGCATAAATCAATAAATTGACAAGATCTTATCAAAGTCTCTTCAGTAATGTATTCTTCTACTGAATAGGATTGGCGGCTGGAAGGCGCGGCTTTGTGAACCTAACTGAGGCTAGAAAAGGATCAGAGGTATGCTCACGAAAAAGACGCAGACTGCATCGCAGGCGCGAGCGGTTGCCTCCCAGCCGCCAATCTAATTGAATCAAAGGATATGTTTGTGCACAGCCTTTTGCCAACTTCAGTAATTCGACCCCACTATTCTAGAATGCATCGGGTTTGGCAGAATCGAAATGAACGCTGCGATGATGTAACAACACATGAAAACGGCAACGACAGATGTAATGCATTGTACCGAGATTTGAGAGCACGGTGGACACTCGAAGATCCCTTACCTTGCAGGAAGTTTTGATTACATTGGCTGGTTTGATTACAATTCCTGTTTGTCAAATTACCAAATGGAGTGATTTGACAAGCAGCAAGACAACAAAGCTGCTTTTGAGCCTTTTTTCAGTATGGCTTTGTCTAAACAGTACAATTGGGTTGTCCAGCTGTTTTCAGTGCATATCGTCCCGCCTCACAAAAAAATGAGTTTCCTTGCTCAGAGGACACATTGTTCAATGGCTATAGCACTTACTAAACCAAGCCATCAATTTGGTTCATGTTGATGGGCGAACGCATCTTCTATTGATCGTAAGTTTGCGCAAAAAAGCTTTTCTTTCATAGACATTAATATGGCCGGTAGTGCTACCTTACCTAGCGGCATCGCGAATGCCGGCAAGTTGCAGACAAAAAAGGAAACGGAATTTGCCCGCTGTGCTTGAACCTGCATGCATCGATCTCTAACGCGGTAGTGTTACTCAATCAACGACTCATAATAGTTTCCTTCTCAAAGAGTAATATAAAGAAGGCACAGGCAAGCCGCGCCCATAAGAGCTGCTAATGATACTGTGGGGGATAAACTTTGAACTCCACGAATAGCATCGACACGAATAAAAAACGCGCGAGATCTTCTAAATAAAACCATGTTTCGCTATTAATTTCTTTTCGGTACTTATCAGATTTGATCAAGGAAAACCGATCAATGTTTAAATGATTTTCTGAAAGAAGGTAGTTTTTGGAGTTATTTGCTTAAAGTAAATTGTGTGATGTTACCACCCACCCACATTCACAAACGCGTTAGCAAATTGACAACATCTTGACGTGGTAGGAGCACGCCGAGGTGCTGGCCCTTTTTACCTTGAAAGAGCACACTATTTTTTGTCTCTTTAAGCTGCCGGCTGCTTCCACATCGCAAATTTCGGGAGGTGCCGACAGATTACCGGCAGGCTGGTTGGCGAAGTTGCCAGCAGCAACTCCAGCACTTTTTATTTTTTTGAAGGGGGCCTTGAAATCTCGAGTTGCGACGCAACATGAAAGTTGCTATGACATCCTCAACCAGGCACTTTTTGTAAAAAAAGCTTTTCGGCTTAGATGCCAAAATTAATTTTTGACGATCTCACGTCGAGTCGACAAGGCCCGCCGCCAGGTCAAAGGGATTACTACCGACTCGGGCTCAGCAGTGACTATTTCGCTTTTGGGAGTTCAATTTTTTATGTTGAAAAATCGTAGAAAATGAGATTCTCAATTACGATGCAGAATACATTTCGAACCATGATAAGTTTTTTCTAAAAGTATACGCCGTTATTCTTCCAAAAAATGAGAAGGAGAATGAAACTTTATACAATTTCATGGGGCACAAATATTACGTTGTCCGGAAAATAATGTCGCATGGCATCCTACACGCGACAGAATGACCACAAAAACATCGAATGGGGTATCATTCGATAGAGCAAAGCAAGCTCTACAAGCTAGTTCACAAATCTCCGCGCAGATATTGCTCCATCTGAAGTTCGAATCCAAAATATAAAAAATTTCAGACGCCCAAAAAATCGTATCTCCGTTCACAGACGTCTTAGGGATCTCCAATTTGCACAGGCATGTACTCTCCACACTAGACATTCACCTGTATAGTTTTTGGTATTTTTCCATGGCTACAGTACGAGAAATAAAAAGGGGTCAAAAGTGCGAATATGTCGTGTTTTTCGGGTTTTTTGCAAACAATTTGATTTTTCTCGAAAACTAGCGCTTGTCTAAAGCTGAAAATTCATGGTTATACTCCTTCAAGGTTCATGCTAAAGAATCACCCATGTGAGAGAAGCTCAGGATTGCTTTGGCAGAAATATGCCAAATTTGGTTTTCTCAATTTTCAGCCATGGAAAAACCGCGAAAACGAGTGTACGGGTGTCTCGTATAGTGAGTCCGTGCGTGAGCAAGTTAGGGGTTCTCAGGACTTCTCTGAATGGAGATACGGTTTTTTTCGTTTTTTTTTCGGATCTTGAGTGCCTTGTGAAATTTGGCTTCAAACTTCATGCAAATCAGACTTGGCGCGAAGGTTCGAGCTTCATTTTGTAGAGCTTGCTCTGATCTATCGGTTGATACCCCATTCACATACTTTCGTGCGCACCCTGCTGCGATATTGCATGATAAAACAAAAAGCGACAATATTTTCCGGACAACCTAATATATATACAGGGTGTCCCAAAAAATGTTAACATTGTTTGATCGTTAATAACTCCCTTGCTTTCAAGTCTTTTGCCGAGCTTTAGGTATCATTTTGTAGAGCGAGGATAAACTTAGATTTACAGTATGGAACGAATCACCGTTCGCTCTTCATTACTGTAGAATTACGGTAAGAAATTCCAGCATGTGAACCGTCGTGAAGTATGCCCTCTGACAAACTTTTTTTTCAAAAAATCTGAAAAATCGTGCAATAGGGTTTTCGCGCACGCTGATCTTACTACACAACTTTTTACGAGTGTTTTCAGCTTTTTTGACGGTGTAATCACATTTTTGACACATGCTGGGAAGTCAATTGTTACACTTTACCTAGGATAACTTTGAAAAGAAGTATCAAAATAAAATGGAAATTTCATATCAGAAATCAGCAGCTTTCATTACCATAGTACAAGAGATTTTGGCTTGTTTGGCTCTGTTTCGAAGCATAAAATGGCCTTCAATGGCCTAAAATTCTTTTCAAATTTCCTACCGTAATTCTACAATAAAGGGGAGAGTTAGATGATTCGCTCCATACTGTAAATCTAAGTTTATCCTCGCTCTACAAAATGGTACCTAAAGCTCTGCAAAAGACTTGAAAGCAAGGGAGTTATTAACGATCAAACAGCGTTAACATTTTTTTGGGACACCCTGTATATATTAGGCTGGAAACTAAGTTTTGCAACTGGATTCATAACTTCACTCTCTTTGGATATGGCGCACTCAAACTGTGGCATTATGTAGAAGGCAATGTGAGCTACACGAAAGCACAAATTGTCCAAATTTTGAACACGAAATAGAAAAGTTTCAGGCGTTTTTTTTGAAGTCTAGTGAAATCTGAGAATTGTTGGGGTTTCAAGCCAAAATGAAGCCTTTGGCAGCCTAGACTATACGCAGTAATCCGGATTCGTCTATAAATTATTGCTGGAGGTTGACTCCTTTGGCCTAGTAGGAAAGAAACAAAATTTAGGAGCATGTCGAGATTTGGCGTCCTCATAAACTCGAACGAGTCGATGTACGCAAGAGCTGCTGGGGACGACCGTCAATGAATAAAGAGTCCGAAGCTCAAATTCCACCGAGACTTTACATATTAAGGTTATTTGGCCTGCTAAACACGAATATCATATTCATTTTGTTGAAACGCCTCTTTCCTTGTTTAGGGTAAGACCCCATATCGTACACCCACAGTAATCCTACAAAAAAACCCTTATCACGCAATTTCACTATCGTTTTCGTGATCAGCATGTCGGATAACACCCCTATGCCAAGTTTCAGCCAAATCCGTCAAATTTCGAATTTTTCCCCTTTATACCATGCACCTACCGTAACCCTCACTGCGACGTCAGAATTTGGTAGGACAGCAGCTGCGCTCGTAGCTTACGTAATAGCCAACGCAGTGGCAAAATTTGAGTGCGCCATATTGAGTGAGAGGGAAGTTATGAGACCAGTTGCAAAACTTAGTTTCCAACCTAATATATGCGAACGGATCTCTTGAGAATGCAATAATAGGTGCATAGTCACAAGCTCACTCTAAGCATTAAAAAATTCTATGAAAGGACGTACCTTCGCTGATTTAGATGGCGGAGGGACACTCAAAAGAGGAGAGATGTTAACTGGTTCATCCCAATGAGCAATTATTCCTGGAGTGTGACCAATACCTACAACGGCGACGACCTTAAAGCATTTCGTTAGTTCAATCAGAACTTTTCTCGATGATCTTCTATTCTCAACCGGAATCTAGTGAATAATGCAGTGGTAAGTGGAGAAATGGTCTTGAGAAACATAGAGTGATTCCACATCTGTGGACATCACAAAAGAAACCTGAAGTGCCCCGTGCAAAAAATCGACTTCAAGATTTTGTGCTTACACGCCTTTTTTTTCGCCGTTTCCGCGCTGTGCAGGGTGACCGAAGCATAGCGAATATGCCCAGGTAAGCACAAAATCTCAAAATCGACTTTCTGCCTTAAATAGTCAAAAATGTACCCTGAGTGGTTGCCAATTCATACCGATGTGCTTCTCCCATGACATACGCTTATCGAATGTATTCCTTATTAATAGTGAATGAAGGGCGTGAGTCATGAAAGCATCTCGTTCATCAACAAAAACCTGTAAAGTGTTTTATTGCATAATCGAGCATAGAGGGAATTGACTCGCCTTGCTAAGTTTAGGAAAATCACTAGCCATCTCAGCAAGCAACTGTTCCGTCATGTCCCTCTCTTTGCATTTTTCAACCTCAATTACGACATGAGCGCTGGAAGTCATTACTTCGACCTACCTCTTCCAGTGTTATCGAAGTGTTATGAGACACTATTAAGTGCCAAGAAAACTTGATTTTCTCCCGAAGTGTAAGTGATCCTAGAGCACGTTGAAGAGTCACTTGTATAGGTCGATCCCCGAGCACCAATCGGCACAACTAGATTTTATGAACTCAGATTTTTATTTCAAACTAGCTGTCTTAGGGAACGGCCATAGGTTGTCGGTGTTGTCGGTGTTGTCGGGGTCAGAGACAGTTTAGAGAGCGCGCGAAACGTGGAGGCTATCATAGGTCCTACAACGACCGGCAACCTCGCAACCCGACAACACCGACAACCTATGGCCGTTCCCTTAGGCTGCGTTCAGACTGATTTCGAAATCCGGGAACAGTTTCAGCACAGCGCTCATTTTAAGCGCTGTACTGGAACTGTTCCCGGACTTCGGGATCAGTATGAACGCAGCCTTACCCGGCTCCGCCCGTCTCTGTCAAAACAATGTAATAAACGTCTCATCCCTGTCCCTGTACAGCCTTTCCCTGTGCCCAATTCTACACTTCATTTCCCGTTCCCTGTGTTGTTTTCGAAATCAGCATGCCTACTTACCCCCCCTGTGCCAACTCCCAGCCCTTCAGCTCAAATTTTGAAAAAATCGATAAAATCGATAAAAGTAATCGATAATTCGGAAAACGAATATTGTATTCGGAATCCCCATGCTCACTTACCCCCCTGTGCCAACTCCCAGCCCCGCAGGTCAAGCTTTAAAAAATCGATAAAAATCGATAAAATCGATATCGATCGATGACGAAAAGTGGCCTATGACACCCGCCGGGGCGCGACGTCTATGTGTGCAAAGTTTGGTCCGAATCGGTTCAGAAATAAAAATTTCTATTCAGGACTTACGTACAGACATAAGACATACATACAGACATACATACAAACAGACATTCAGCTTTATATACATGATGTAAGGTCAATTCAAGAGCTAAACTAACAGATGACCCTCCTTTCTCTCCTCCCCCACCTCTTATTAAGTAGAACATCTTGCAGAGGCTTGCGTAGCAATTTCACAATTTCACATGCAGGGAATCCCAGCAGAGTGGCAAACCTGCCGCGGCCCCGATCGTCGCCAACGCCTTTCTAAGTCTCAACCCGTAGTTCGCAAGCGTATTGTATGAGCATTTTGCAGGCCTAGATCAATGCGCCACGGTGCTTGCTTTTCCTTACATGAAGCTTCGATTTTCAACCATCTGGGATTATCCTTTGAGAAAATGATTATTTGCCTTCTCCTTGCCCAATCTTTAGCTATGTTAATGCGTCCTATATTTTGCAGTTTTAATAATTGCTTATTACAGTAACCCAGTTTCGCGTTTCACTGAGTTTTAGTAGCTTCTTAAGTTTTCTCTCCTGAGCTTTATCCCATAGATTGTTTGTCCAAGAAGGGCTCTATAACTAGGCAGCCATATATGCAGAGCTTACAGAGTCGCTCAAGTTATATCATGTTTATCGGTTGCAAATAGTTTCTTTTCACAACAAATGATAGGACAAGCAAAACTGGTGCAAATATTTCTCTCGCAATGGTTGCAGATTATGCAGATTATGGCTGCACTCCATTAGACACGAATGTTCTAAGTAAAACCCTAGTATAATGACGCCTTAAAGCCTTCTCTCTATCTGCCCGTTTATGTGAAAATCTGTCTGTCCTGAAACTCGTGAAGCAATTTGCAACCATGCTCAAGGGCCGAATATTTGCATAGCGCGCCACCAGCAAGTCGGTTTGCCAGACACAAGAACGAGCTAATCCAACAAGCGGGTCTCAAAAAAATCGTATGTCTTACGGATCCGCGCGGTTCGGCCATTGAATTACGCGGGTTCAAAGCCATTATTTAGTTACAGACTAGTGCGAGTCTCTGTAAAGGAGGTGATGCGCTGTTAATCTATAAGATAAGAGCCGAAATCAAAAAATAAGAGAAATGGAGAGGAAACGAAGCGCCTGGTGGCCGCAACCATCCTAGCCGCGGCGACTTTGACACTCAAGTTGGGATATCTTGTAAGGTTATCTGATAGAGGCAATATATGCGTGATCGTTAATGCTTTGCAAGCGGAGCTTTTTGGGAATTTGAAGTTTTGAAAACTTTAAATTTCAAATATAAAGAACTTTTTCGCCATCGTTCAAATGACGTCTCGTGGAGCTTGTTTGTTCCATCAATTTATGTCTTAAGTACTTTGACATCTATCTCACCAAAGTAGAGTGAACAACATTTTGGAGGAAGGAAGGATAACTGAAGTTCTGTTTTGAGAGATTTCTTTGATTATAGCATAATTTTTCCGCTAGACCTGACTTTCTGCTGTTTTCTATTGAAGTGCTGTTTCATAGAAAGAACTTGTGAGTTAGAACCTTTTTCGAAGTTACATATGGAGCTAGAGTTCAGACGTGGTCGAGTAAACGGACGCGTTCTTGTGAACGGCAAGCAGCTAAAACACAGAAAAATACAGCTCTTTTTTCGATAAGCGCTAAGAGTGCAGTTATCATTTCGTAACAATCTTATAAAACTTCTACAGCACAGTCGTAGCTTTGTTCCGCTCGCAAATGCTAACAAGATCCACATGATTGTAGAGCGCCACGATGTTTTTTGTCGGAAGTTGTTTTGGTGCAGAATCACCTTTCTCTAATAGTGGTTAGTGTAATGACTCAACAATATTACCGGTGTCTGCATTGCAGCTTTATGAGCAGCTCTACATTCCACACCAGGTGCCATTGACAGCTTTCTAGCAATTTGAGCTGATAAAGAAAGTAGTAAAATATGTAGGACCCCTTGTACAACGCCGTTCTGAAAGATGTTATGAATAAATATCAACAAAGAAGTAACAAAAACATAATTTTTGTGATTTTACTTGCTTGATAGTGGTCAGAATCTTTTGCGTGTTGAGTTCACTTTCTTCCTTCAACAGAGTCTTTTCATCCATTGATAGAACAGCTATTCTGCTAGGGCATAGTTCGACCATTACAAGGTCCGGTTGAGTTTCCTTGATAGTCTTGGTAACGTCTTCTTCGGACTTTCGGCTAAAGCATAGACAACATATTTTGGTATGTTAGAGTGAGAGTATGTACAACATAAGAACCTGAAATGAGCCGTTCCTATCAGATAAACACTCGCTTCTTTGAATGCCTTTTCCCAATTCCTTGACTCAATCTCTTTAGGGCATGGGGGTATCGGCACGTTTTTGGGGTATTTCAAAATGGTAACTGAAAGATGCTTGTGATTTTGTGCAAAAAGCTGTGGTTTTGAAGAAGCAGAACTGACCGGTATCCTTCGGAAGTTGTATATTCAAGGGCCGCTTTTTATCAAAGCTCCATTTATTAGACTTCCCTTCCTACAAAAATTTTTCCTTACAGTTAGAGCTGATGCCTATTATCACTGTGCACCACTTATTTTAATAGGCACCATACTGGCCTTTGATTCGGCTGGGAACCGATGCGGCAGCGCTAACCAAACGAAGGTTACTGCTTACTCGGCACCAATGCTTTTGGTCCGAGTAAGCAGTGAACTATGTGTCTACAAATAGCACTAGCCAATGTTTTCTTCCTTTTGTTTCTGAAATGCATCTACACAGATAATCTATTTGATTACTAGTTTTCTTTGCCTTGTACCGACATCCCAAATTTTGCGTGCTAGACGCCATGCCAAACATTCGTCAGTTACTTGAACGTCCTCAAAACAAATTCTGAACCAATGTATAGGTCACTAAGGACGTTTGTATCTCTTGACTATCTGTGCGGACGGCACAGCCAGTCGAAGAGTTCGAGGGTAGAGAACATTAGGTCGCCGATAGGCTACACCCCCGCGCACAAATAGCACAGGCTAGCAATGTATATAGGCGCGCGTATTGTTGCAAATGTTCGCGCAAAACCTCTCCTTTCGGCAATTTAGTGTCCCCTACCAAGAATTTGATAGGGAGTAGCGTAAGAACGAGCATTTCTTCTCAGTGAGCGATATTAAGAAAACAGCATATCAGCTCACTCCTCCGCGCGTTCACCTTATCATCTTATATATGGAGCTGAGTGTCTGTTTGTCTGTTTGTCCCCTTGTCTGACTATATGTACATAGTTGATTCGAAATAGATTTCGGATTGAAATTTGTACATTCACAGGTATCATAAGACTACTTTTGGTTTTGTTCTATATCACTTGTTTCAGCAAACTCGAGTTAGAGTTGGGAATTGGTAAAATGTACTAAGTCTACATATTGGTTGAAAAAGCAGCAATCATTTGAGATTACAAAAGCCTTTACTAATCTTATCAATTTTTTAAAACTTTTTGGCTGGGGTATTGGAAGTCAGTGATGAAATAATGAGCTCTCATTATCAGAAGGGTCTAGGAAGTATGTCAACCGTAAATTAAAGAAATGTTGGCCGAGTCGATACAGTGAGCTAGAGATGATTAGCACTCTGTTCTATTATTTGCTGAGCTCTTAGTGTAATGAGTTTAAAGTTAGTGCCTTAATGATTTCGTTTGAGTCTTCGTTGCAATCTTGAGCTTCAAAAATCTTATTTCTTCATTTACTTCGTATTTATGTTCAGTTGGTTGAGTAATCACTCAATAACATCAACTTTCAACTCGCTATTTCCTACCTCTCATTCGTTTCGGTCTTTACCCTTTAAGGTTTTCTTTGTTGCATTCATCAACTTTTTTCGTCACCGTGTTCTACATGATTCAATAAGGACAAAGTTTACTGTAGGCTGAAGGGCCGCTCACACACGCGATTTCATCGCCTGATTCTCCCAACAAGACAGCGGTTACGAGTTCATTGCATAACGGTCACCTTGCAGTTCGGTAGTGATGATCAGTCGCAATTAGTCTCGTCTCGCTTTCGCAACCGAGATTCAACTTACAAGTGGGCTGCGCCTCCATGCGGTAAAGTGATGTGGATTTGGAAGTGTGACGAAAATGGATTTGATTGACAGTAACTTGGCATAGACTAAAAATACGTCCTTGGAAATCTATACATATATAAAGTTAAGAGTTGGTAAATTGTTAATTATGTTCTTTATGCAAATTTTTGTGTGTCAACCGATCAGCGCCAAACTTTGCACACATATGTATTCGGCACCGATCCACCCCGTAGACAACTTTTCGCGTCGAAAATCCCACTCTTTTAATTGATTTATCGATTTTGAAGAGAATTGATCTCTTATGACAGCGCTGAACCACCAGAAGTGTGTGGACATCATTTACTTTGATTTATCAAAAGCCTTTGACAGAGTTAATCAAAGAAAAACTTCTGCTAAAACTAGAAAACGCAGGTATGCATGGTCAGCTGCTGGAATGGCTGGATTCCTACCTCAGTGAACGTAGAATGACAGCGCGCGTTAAAAACATGTATTCAGAAAAGTATTTTTGCAAAAATGGTGTTCCACAGGAAGGAGTCCTCTTACCCCTTTTGCTTTTACTTTATACAACTGGCCTACCTTCGTTCATCAAAACCCACCCGAAAATCCATGTGCATATTTTTGCGGATGATCTTAAATTATACGTTGGTTATGGAAAAGAGGAAAGAGAGGAATCCTACGAAGCCCTTTCTTCTTCCATAGAAAGAGTGAATTTGTGGTCTGAGGTGGAATCTTCCCTTGAATCTTACAAAATGCTCAGTTGCACTTAGGCGACACCAGTACTCACCTCAGTTCATATATCTGTGGTGGTATGAGCTTGAGTATCGAAACGTTGTGAAAGATTTAGGCGTTGTTGTTGATGATGCTTTCAAATTTACTGCGCACTATGATTCAGTCGCCACCAAGTCGCTGGCATCGCTGTTTATGCTTCTATGGAGAACGTACAGGTGGGTTTAATTTGCATTTCAGGAAGCTAGGTAAAAATGCTCTTTGCAAATCTTCAATTTATATTTCTGCCGAACCAGAAGATGGTTAAGTCAGGAAATTATTTCTAGTAAAAACGCATCCTCTTTTCGTAAGAAATTAGGCCATAAATGTACTGGAATATGTGAGCTAATGTTTAGGTTGGGAATTCTGATCGTTCTATTCTCCTTTAACCGTTGATTCTTGCCAGCTGTTAACGTCATTGCTCTTCGACCTGCGCTGATCGAAATTCTTAGGCCCGTATGCACGTACATCCCCGCGGGGAAGGGAGGGGATCTGAGAGGGGAAGCGTCATATCTCGCTAGTCTATGTATCTTTCTTCTTCTTCCTCTGTCTTGGTTTTGAAGGTTCTCATACACTGATACTTGCGCATAACGGATGCCAGCTTACTGCCATACAAGATTAGATATTTACTATTTCGTCTGATCCCCTGGAGATCCCCAGGGGATCACCTCACATTTTCAAAGTTATTTATCTTTCTGAAAACTCGATGAAAATGTTCTAAGATTGTACTGTGGATATAATACAGCACTGCTTAACGTATTTATGGTAGAAATGAGTGAAATCTCAAGATATCAGAATCTTCGATGAACCGCTGCTCGCGAGCCAGGGATTATCGAAAAAATCAAAATCTTCAGATTCCATTTCTTCTGTCGAAAATATGCTCAGCAGTATCATAGTATATCTTCAGTGCAATTTTGCAGCGTTTTCATTGATTTTTCAGGAAGATAAATGACTTTGAAAATGTGAGATGATCCCCTGGGGATTCCCAGGGGATCGGAAAAAATAGTGAATATTTAATCTTATGTAGCAGTAACCTGGCATCTATTATGCGCAGGTATAAGGATATGAGAACCCTTATTAGCACGATAGAGAAGAAAGAAGAAAGATATCTAGAGCAGTGAGATATGACGCTTCCCCTCTCAGATCTCCTCCCCTCCCCGCGGGGATATACTTGCATACGGGCCTTAATCGCTGCATTTTTCTCATACCGAGACTACCGAATGCCTTTTAATGTTTTTCTGTTTTTTATCTCTTTGATGTCATACTAGCTTCATTGACGTCATTATGTTGGTGTTTACTAACAAAGTGGCGCGCCTATGAGCGCATTATATAAATATAAATACATAAATTATCATGTATTATCAAACTAATTCCAGCTTTCGTATAAACAAAAGCGGCAGAGCTCATTTTCAATCCACGATGAGGGAGATTCGGTAATGCACGGCGATGTGGTCAGCAAGTGAAGTGTCCTGCGTTACAAGCGAAGAAAAAGGAAGCCAAGACGCAGATAAGTTGAACCTTTATAGTCACGTACCAAATTCGCTCTTTACTGAGCCACCTAAACCCACGATGCAGGAGAAGCTGGGCATCCCAGCTAGGATTGATAATCTTAGTGTATGAGGATTTCCTATGGGTGCTAAGATAAGGCATACATCTGCTTGAAATAGATGGTTTCACTTGTCATTACTCCTATCTTGCGGAGAGTCGTTGTTGCAGTATGGGACACTCACACCGCCATCGCAGGTTTAAAACAACGGCGCATCTTGAACGGCAAAAAGGAGATAGTTAATGTTATCAAAGGATCTTCTGCAAATAAGAGAAGCCAAACCACATTAGTGCCAACTCTTATACAAGCGTTTATTTATTTGCGAACGCGGAGTAGCGAGATGATTGATTTGATTCTTGATTTGCTCGCAAAGATTTACAAAACTATCTTGTATCTCGAAAATAAAAGCGTGACCGTCAATCCTAATCGATCGCTGGGTGCCATATTTGTTTAAGTCAAGTGGGAAACCACTCTAACGGAGCGGGTTCCACAGGATTCATATCTAGGTATAAGTCGTTTGAAAAATTGTGACAACAGATTTGACTGCTTCCTTGCGCCCACAACAGCAGACACACACTTATACAAAATGTCCTCACCAAAGCTCTTAGCTCAGTCGCTTCCACTGCCTAAGTACAGTCGCTTCATTTCATATGATCATGTGTGTCATTGCACACACAGTTCACCTTTGGCGTCCTCATCCTGGATTCATGGGAGAAACAAGCCTTCAGGTAAGTGTTTCCAAGGTGTTCTTAGCATTTTCTTTTTACTTACTAGTCACCTCAAAATGATGTAATCGATAACAATCGGTAAGTCTCTTGCGTTTTTGCGATTGCAAATCCAGGATGAGGACGCCAAAGTAGACTGCGTGTGCAATGGCATACATGATCATACGAAATGAAGCGACTGTACACTCATATGTAAGCAGAAAAACCATTCAAGTAATGATGAAGAGCAAAAAAATGCGTTTGGTGGGAGTGCGTGCGCGTCGCGTCACGATTTTTCAACGCCCCTTGAAAAGGGTTTGATTTTGATTCTTTCAGTATAGAAAGCCGCGATCGAACGGTGACAAAAAACAGCGAGCGAAAGCACGATAGGGAAAGCTAAGTGTGCTGTCTTACACTGTTATCATATAAACTTGCACAGTAGCACAGCAGAAGTATTCACTGAAACA